TTTCTGGTACCATCAGAACTGCAACTCTTCGTTTGCTGCTGAAGATGGGGACGGAGAGCTTATGAGTGTCCCGAGTGATGTGATGTCGATTCCTAATTCAACATTCAAGATTACCCGCGTTGGACAGCAAGGTTACATAGCGGGTTCTAATTAGGACTTCATAAAAGGTATAAAGGTGTATCAAAGACTTGAATTGTTGGTTTGGAGTACGGGGTGTCGCTAACATCTGCAAAACTGTCCTATCCTTTGCCATGGCATGCCGATCAGCCCATGTCCGAATCCTTTCAACTTCACTCTTCAGTTCTTTTCTCCATGTAAATTTTGGTCTGCTTTAAGTTCTTTTGGGGGGGGGGGGGAAGGGGGGGGGGAGGGGGGGGGAGGGGAAGGAACGCCACGCAGTTTATGTTGCGTGTGAAGTGTGCTTTTTGGTATTGTGGAATGTGATTCCAGTTTTGTTGCTATGTGAAAAGTAATCGTTTGTAATGTGGAATCTGATTCCAGTTTTGTTGCTATGTGAAAAGTAATCGTTTGTAATGTGGAATGTGATTCCAGTTTTGTTGCTATGTGAAAAGTAATCGTTTGTAATGTGGAATGTGATTCCAGTTTTGTTGCTATGTGAAAAGTAATCGTTTGTAATGTGGAATGTGATTCCAGTTTTGTTGCTATGTGAAAAGTAATCGTTTGTAATGTAGAATGTGATTCCAGTTTTGTTGCTATGTGAAAAGTATTCGTTTGTAATGGGGAATGTGATTCCAGTTTTGTTGCTATGTGAAAAGTAATCGTTTGTAATGTGGAATGTGATTCCAGTTTTGTTGCTATGTGAAAAGTAATCGTTTGTAATGTGGAATGTGATTCCAGTTTTGTTGCTATGTGAAAAGTAATCGTTTGTAATGTGGAATGTGATTCCAGTTTTGTTGCTATGTGAAAAGTATTCGTTTGTAATGTGGAATGTGATTCCAGTTTTGTTGCTATGTGAAAAGTAATCGTTTGTAATGTGGAATGTGATTCCTGTTTTGTTGCTATGTGAAAAGTAATCGTTTGTAATGTGGAATGTGATTCCTGTTTTGTTGCTATGTGAAAAGTAATCGTTTGTAATGTGGAATGTGATTCCTGTTTTGTTGCTATGCGAAAAGTAATCGTTTGTAATGTGGAATGCGATTCCTGTTTTGTTGCTATGTGAAAAGTAATCGTTTGTAATGTGGAATGTAATTCCAGTTTTGTTGCTATGTGAAAAGTATTCGTTTGTAATGTGGAATGTGATTCCTGTTTTGTTGCTATGTGAAAAGTAATCGTTTGTAATGTGGAATGTGATTCCAGTTTTGTTGCTATGTGAAAAGTTAATGTTGGTAATAAATTAAATATAAAGTAAAAGGACCCTTTTCCACGCCTTTCAGACGTACTGGGTATATAGGGCTAGACCTATATTTTATAGACTAACGGCACAAGATGGGTGATGTGGTCAGCATCACACCAGCCGCCTTTACTTCCCAGGACTGGACCCGGTACCCACTCAAGGCTGGGTCGACCTGGGAGCCAAGGATTGTTGGTAATTTCGAATGTATTTCCAGTTTTGTTGCTATCTGGAGTATAATTGTGAGCAATGTAACTCCAGTTTTGTTGCGTGTGATTTTTAATTATATCGAATGTAACGCCGAGCAAACAGATGCTGCACAGTTTGACATCATAGCATGGAGGATCATCTGTGTCACAGTTGATTGATAGTAAACGAGACAAAAGAGTTGTCGATATACATGACTACAAGCGCCACACGGATCGGATTTTAAGAAGAAGAAGAAAACACTTGTGTGGTTGTGTGAAGTGTGGTGGTTGTTAGTGACAAATAGAACTAGTTTTGCTGTAATATGAAGTGAGATTGTAGATAATTGTCGATATAACTCTAGTTTTGCTGTTATATGAAGTGAGATTGTAGATAATTGTCGATGCAACTCTAGTTTTGCTGTTATATGAAGTGAGATTGTAGGTAATTGTCGATGTAACTCTAGTTTTGCTGTTATATGAAGTGAGATTGTAGATAATTGTCTATGTAACTCTATGAAGTGTATTTGAGAGTAATGTCGAATTTAATTCCAGTTTTGTTGCCATGTGAAGTGTGATTGTTGACAATGTCGCTTTAAGCCAGATTCTCTATTATTTAGGCATTTATTTAGTAAACCAAAAGATATTTGCTATTAGAGCCAAATTTGATAAATCCTTTATTTCAGGCCAGACACAAGTTTGTCAGAATCATTCACATTGTGTTCCACATCAGAAATTTTATTTGTGTTGTCAGTAGGCTGTAAGTATGTTGGTTTTAGTGTGCGTTTCACTGTGCGTAATTTACATAATATATGGAACAGCTCACGAAGTCAGGCCCTGGCTCCGTCCATTTACACACTAAATCACTTTTGCAATGACTCTGTTTACATTCAGTTTGGCTCCAGTCGCTTGCAGACTTCTCACCGGTGCCGCACTCAACTGAACAGGTGAAAGATGGACGACACGCACAAAACAATGAGTTGTCAAGCCGCACTGACACTCAACTGAACAGGTGAAAGATGGACGACACGAACAAAACAATGAGTTGTCAAGCCACACTTACACTCAACTGAACAGGTGAAAGATGGACAACACGAACAACACGATGCGTTGTCAAGCCGCACTGACACTCAACTGAACAGGTGAAAGATGGACGACACGAACAAAACAATGAGTTGTCAAGCCGCACTGACACGTAACTGAACAGGTGAAAGGTGGACAACACGAACAAAACAATGAGTTGTCAAGCCACACTTACACTCAACTGAACAGGTGAAAGATGGACAACACGAACAACACGATGCGTTGTCAAGCCGCACTGACACTCAACTGAACAGGTGAAAGATGGACGACACGAACAAAACAATGAGTTGTCAAGCCGCACTGACACCTAACTGAACAGGTGAAAGGTGGACAACACGAACAAAACAATGAGTTGTCAAGCCACACTTACACTCAACTGAACAGGTGAAAGATGGACAACACGAACAACACGATGCGTTGTCAAGCCGCACTGACACTCAACTGAACAGGTGAAAGATGGACGACACGAACAAAACAATGAGTTGTCAAGCCGCACTGACACCTAACTGAACAGGTGAAAGATGGACAACATGAACAACACGATGAGTTGTCAATAATTATTGTTCACTCACTCGCTGATTCTTTGGCAGGTACATGGTGAGGTATAAACATAGTCTAGGTGATTATGCATAACACTTCGAATAAAGTCAACGTTACCTTCAGACAAAACACAAGTGTCCACAACACACAATGGAAGCTGAAAATGATAACTTTCTTTGATGAGCAAACATAAACAGTTCACTGCAGACGGCAGTTCAAACTCTGGCCAGGTTAGGTATCGGAATCTCACAATCGAATAGATGCATGCCGTCAATCAAAACTTATTTCAACACATGTTCTTTACTTCACAAGCACACAGTTCCTTGACCCAGACGAGACTGACACCTAGATCTTTTTAGGGCATAACAAATCTTCTCTCGTCCACATTCTGGATTGCCCAAAGCTCGTGATTTTCGAGCTTTTCACTTCACCCGGGTTAACGCTTCGATCATTATGGCAGACATTTTCTCGTGCCACAGTCCGCCCTCGGTAAATTGAAATATCTAATTCATATTCATGATTTTACGTCATTCCTACTATTACACATAATTTATCGGGGAGAAAATGACTCACTACAACTTTTAGTTGGTGGTTTTCAGGCTTGTAAACTGTTGTCATGGGTACAGGTGTGTCCCGCTTTACTGTTCGCTAAAAAATCTTTCTGAGTTGTCTTTTATTTACGTTTTCATTCCGAGAACGAGAATCCGACCTAAGTTGCAGCACTCTCGTGCGGGGTTTGTGTTAGGGCCAGTTATGCATGTTTTGGGACCATTAAAAGAGATAACATCGCAGAATATACACTACGCGATATCACCAGCAGGTGAAGAGAACGGAGAAAACTTTTCGCACAAAACAGTAAACAGGAACACTCCGGTAACGTTTATCAAGGTTGACTAGCACAACGAAGTATGAATGGAAAGTGACCTAGTGTGTAATTTGGCGGAGCTGTGCCTGGACAAGTGACAAGAACATATATATATATATATGTGTGTGTGTGTGTGTGTGTGTGTGTGTGTGTGTGTGTGGTGTGTGTGTGTGTGTTTTAAACTACAATACTATTAGAAATAAAAATATATAACTTGGTTTTAAAACTTAATAATTTACCTTTTCATATTTTATTACAACTTTATTTTTTAAATAGCTAGAGTTTGTTGTGTCGATGTTTATAGTACTCTCTCCCAATGTCAGCCGCTCTGGTTCACATAGACGTTCTAGCAATTCCTTGCACCCCCCCCCCCTTTTCCCCCAACAACTACTGGACTGAAATAACAAATTTGTGCCAATTGTGGGAAAAAAAAGAAAACCCACACAACAGCCAGGGGCTGTTGGAGTTGGCTCTGCAACGTCCTTTAAAGGATACGCAACTAATCTACAAGACGTGAGATGTTTAAATGAATCAAATGATGACTGTGAATCTGGAGTCATGACCAGACTGCAAGAACAGCATTTTAAAAAGGTGGTGGCCAGACAAGAGCACTAGGCAGGAAGCCAAAGAAGAATAAGAAACCAACACAAAACCGGTGTCGTCAGAATAGAAAGAAGATCCGTACACTGAAGGACTAATCTAGCAAGAGGGGTTGGGGGGGGGGGGGGGGGGAGGGGGCGGGGAGGTAATAGATGTTCTGAAAGATATTCAAAGCTGACAGGAAACCATGGGCAGACTTTTAATCAGGAATTAGCATGTCGACACTTCGCTGGCTACTAAAGAAGGAAACGGAGCATGTGTCAGAATGTGCCGAGTACAGTGATATCAGTTCTAAATTCATCCATCCATTTATTCATTCATTCATTCATTGGGCTGGTGAATTGGGAAGATGAAGTCCTGTACTTGTTTACTTCAGTGCTGGGGACACGCACTCCATTTTCTCTGGCCTGAAGCAGCTGAAGGCAGAGCGGGAGAGACTTTTGGACAGAAGTAACCAGACGGACTCGAGTCGAATGAAGCAGTTTGACCCAGCACGGTATACTTTCAACAAGGAGGTAGATGCGCGCGCGCGCGCGCGTGTGTGTGTGTGTGTGTGTGTGTGCTCGCGCGCGTGTGAGTGTCGTAAAAGAGCATAAGGAGAGAGGGAGAGAATGAAACTGAAAAATGAGAGAGATGGAAGAGGGAAAGTGTGTGTGTGTGTGTGAGAGAGAGAGAGAGAGAGAGAGAGAGAGAGAGAGAGAGAGAGAGGGGGGGGGGGAGAGAGAAAGCACAGCAAGTCAAAAAAGGTTTAATTTCCACATCTCGAGACGCATTGGCGAGAGCTGCCATTCCCGTAATTGTACTGACTTCTCGGCACAGAGTGAGTGATTTGAGACATATCACTCCGTCTGCTTTTACTTTTCATGATATTTCCATATATGAATTTTATCTTCTTGAATTTTTCCATTTGTCTTACGCTTCTGGAGTTGCTCGAAGGATGGATCTGTTTTAAAGGGCAGACATGGTCAAGGCCCTTTGGGAATAAGCAACGGAATCAGTTGAGAAACAAGATTATTGTGACCTGCAGAGAATGAGGCACCTGGGTGTAACGAGGGTCTGGCCGGTTCACTACACTCAGAGGAAAGGCAAGACGGACATATAGCCAGATTGTGACCGGTATTGATACTCTGCGCCAGCTGCTGAGGATTAGGTCAGAACACTTTTGGGAATGCCCCCGAGTGCTGTGGTGTCCATTTTTGCCTCAACTGTTTGTTTTTGCAGTATTTAGATGCGACACATGTTTATGTCTTCTCTTCCTTAATCTTCTCGCCTTCCACTCACATGTTCTGCAGTACAAGATCTCATGTAAAGTTTGGTCTGACTCCATTCTTATCAAATGACCAAACCACTTCATTACATATTACAGTTGGGAATTTATGATTATCGATTTTTACCCCCCCCCCCTCCCCCCCCCCCCCCCAGGTTCACCTTTCTACGGAGATCAAGCTGACTCTAACAGTGCCATGTTATCAGCGTTCCAATGACGAGGTTGAAAAGGTTGGGGGTGAAGACAGCTATTCCGTCTGACTGTACTTTAAATCTATCTATCTATCTATCTATCTATCTATCTATCTATCTATCTATCTATCTATCTATCTATCTATCTATCTATCTATCTATCTATCTATCTATCTATCTATCTATCTATCTATCTATCTATCTATCTATCTATCTATCTATCTATCTATCTATCTATCTATCTATCTATCTATCTATCTATCTATCTATCTATCTATCTATCTATCTATCTATCTATCTATCTATCTATCTATCTATCTATCTATCTATCTATCTATCTATCTATCTATCTATCTATCTATCTATCTATCTATCTATCTATCTATCTATCTGTCTAATCTATCTGTCTGTCTAATCTATCTGTCTGTCTAATCTATCTGTCTGTCTAATCTATCTGTCTGTCTAATCTATCTGTCTGTCTAATCTATCTGTCTGTCTAATCTATCTGTCTGTCTAATCTATCTGTCTGTCTAATCTATCTGTCTGTCTAATCTATCTGTCTGTCTAATCTATCTGTCTGTCTAATCTATCTGTCTGTCTAATCTATCTGTCTGTCTAATCTATCTGTCTGTCTAATCTATCTGTCTGTCTAATCTATCTGTCTGTCTAATCTATCTGTCTGTCTAATCTATCTGTCTGTCTAATCTATCTGTCTGTCTAATCTATCTGTCTGTCTAATCTATCTGTCTGTCTAATCTATCTGTCTGTCTAATCTATCTGTCTGTCTAATCTATCTGTCTGTCTAATCTATCTGTCTGTCTAATCTATCTGTCTGTCTAATCTATCTGTCTATCTATCTATCTATCTATCTATCTATCTATCTATCTATCTATCTATCTATCTATCTATCTATCTATCTATCTATCTATCTATCTATCTATCTATCTATCTATCTATCTATCTATCTATCTATCTATCTATCTATCTAATCTAATCTAATCTAATCTAATCTAATCTAATCTAATCTAATCTAATCTATCTATCTATCTATCTATCTATCTATCTATCTATCTATCTATCTATCTATCTATCTATCTATCTATCTATCTATCTATCTATCTATCTATCTAATCTATCTATCTATCTATCTATCTATCTATCTATCTAATCTATCTATCTATCTATCTATCTATCTATCTATCTATCTATCTATCTATCTATCTATCTATCTATCTATCTATCTATCTATCTATCTATCTATCTATCTATCCATCTATCCATCTATCCATCTATCCATCTATCCGTCTATCCGTCTATCCGTCCGTCTGTCTGTCTGTCTGTCTGTCTGTCTGTCTGTCTGTCTGTCTGTCTGTCTGTCTGTCTGTCTGTCTGTCTGTCTGTCTGTCTGTCTGTCTGTCTACCTATCTATCTATCCGTCTGTCTGTCCGTCTGTCTGTCTGTCCTGTATGAAATAAATGCTTACATGATTCCATACATGCCATGAAAGTCCCTCTGTTGAGCCGTGTTTAACTGTTACAGATTGTCGAGACTTTGCAGCAGATTCGAGCATTTGTGGCCTACCCTATAGCGTATCAGAGGGTGATCGCCAAAGCGGCTTGGTACATTGTGTAAGTCTCGTTTTACAACAATTATATGTGCTAGATTTTGTTGTTGTTGCGCTGTTACTGCTCAAATCCTGCTTTCCAGCAGGAGACCCAGTTCAAACCCAGGTAAGCTCGGGAATTATTTTCTGTTAGGGGCAAAAATAGAATCAAACAACCAGCCAGACAATCAACTACACAACCAACCAAACAATCAACGCGACAACTGACTAGACAACCAGCCAGACAATCAACTACACAACCAACCAAACAATCAACGCGACAACTGACTAGACAACCAGCCAGACAATCAACTACACAACCAACCAAACAATCAACGCGACAACTGACTAGACAACCAGCCAGACAACCAACTACACAACCAACCAAACAATCAACGCGACAACTGACTAGACAACCAGCCAGACAACCAGCTAGAAAACCAGCTAACTGGACAACTAGACCAGACAGCCAACCAGAAACCAACTAACCAGAAAACCAGACCAGACAACCTACTAACTAGACAACCAGACCAGACAACCTACTAACTAGACAACCAGACCAGACAACCTACTAACTAGACAACCAGACCAGACAACCAAGCAGAAACCAATTAACTAGACAACCAGACCAGACAACCAAGCAGAAACCAACTAACTGAACAACCAGACCAGACAACCAACTAACTAGACAACCAGACCAGACAACCAAGCAGAAACCAACTAACTAGACAACCAAACTAGACAACCAACTAAGCAACCATGCAACTAACTGTTCACTTAAACAACCAACCATTCAACCAGCATTGGCAGATAAAGATACATTTCTTTCTTCTTCTGGATTCTAACCACCAGTGGAGTATAGGATCTCAACTAACTCACCTTCTATTCTTTGCTATCGCATGCAGCTCTCCTCGTGTCCTACCCGTCTTATTAACTTCCCTCTCTAGCTCTCTTGTTCATCTTTTTAATGTATCTTTATTGCTTTGCGCCTGTGGGTTCCAGTGCAAAGACGTTCTAGTTAAATTGTTCTCAGGTTTTCTCAACGTGTGTCCTATCCGATGCCAGCGTCTTTTCTTCAACTCTTGGTCTACTATAACTTGTTTAGTTCTCTCCAAAAGCTAAAATTAGTGATTCTGTCATACCATATAATTCCATCTATTTTGCTCAGTCACCAGTTATTGAATGTTTGTAGCTTATAAGTAACTTTTTCTTCTTCACTTTGTCCGCCATGTTTTCGCTCCATACAACAGTACTTCATTCACCATCTTGTTCACCGGCTGTGAATTCTGGCGGAAAGTCCTGGCAGTTCGTCTATTTGGACTTTAGGCTTTTACCTGGATCTGCGTTTTGCATGTACATCCGTTTTACTGGCTTATTTATGTGCAGTTTTAATGTGACATCAGAATTAAAACCCCCCAAAAAATATATTAACTACTAGTTTTATTTCTTTGGACATCCACAAATTTCCTTGGATTTGGAAAGTTACAAGGTCCAATAAAGTAATGAGACTAGTTCCATTAAAATTTAAAAAATCAACAGTTGCAGATATAACCTGTATGACCCTTTGGGTGTTATCAATATCATTAAAGAAGCGTCATTTCAGTGGTAATGTTAATTTTGGGAATAGAGAATAACCACAGGGAGATAAATCTAGGGAGTGGTGGGGATGGTTGAGAACATGCAATTGTTTTTGGGCCAAAAATTCCTATACAACTAACGCCCTTCGAGCCAGTGCATTGTCATGAAGAAGAAACAAATTGCAAGGTTTTAAAATCAAACCGGCAAGCAATTTTTTTCTTGCCTAAATCTTTCACTACAATTTTACGAAAAGCCTCTGTATTAACACCAAATTCATCTACCATCATCCTCAGAGTCGAACAATGATTTTCTTGTATTCTGCAATGACTCACTGTTTTCTTATATATAGCTCTAGTCACTGCAGATTCATATTTCACACACCGACATCAACACGACAAGCAGAAAATAGACGACTGGAAACAACACAAGACTATTTCTGCATTTTATTCTTCCACTCGCCTCTCCTCAGCTGGAACATGAAATAGAATAATGTCCAGGGCATACATTGTAACTAAGAACAATCATTCTGCTCAACTTTAACTTTTAGCCGAAATTACAATCGTCCTGACACAAGCACAATTAACGAAACAACTGCTGTTCTGACGGTGACTAACGCAGCTGGCAGACATCTTTCCGTCCGTCCTTGCTGTTGGCCAGGTTGGGCGTTGAAGCTACAATAATTCTCAGACACATCCTGGATCCACACACATTCCACCGTTGTTTACGCACTCCGTTCCTTGGCCCAATCGAGACTGCCGACCAGCCCTTTCTAAGGCATTATATAACCTTCTAATGCCCTCCTTGTGATTGCGACTTCTCCGTGTTCTCAGATTTACATGGATTCCATTTGGCCAGCATTTTCTCTGTGATCCGCGTGAGTTTCATTTGGCCAGCAATTCTTCGTGATTTGCATGAAGTTCATTTGGTCAGCATTTCTCTGTAATTCACGTGCTGTCCTAGTTACACTCAAATATTCCATTCACATTTATTGGCTGACGTCATTCCGTCTGGGACCAAATTTATCTAGGAGAAAATGGGTTCACTACATATTCGTTCACGGAATTTTGCAACGAGTTCCTCATTACGAACAGAAATCGGGCGTTCAGGTCTAGTTGCATTAGTAATCATTTCCACATCACTTTTGAATCGTGAATACCAGCTGAATATCTGTGCACGAGATAAACAATTATCCCCAAAAACTTTGCATCAATTCAGCTGTTGAAGTGGCGCTTTTTTTTTTCTGAATTTTAAACAGTATATAATGTCAGCTTTTTCGCTCCATGCTGATTACGTAACAACGCACCTTTGACTAAGTTGACAAAATGGCGGCTCGTTTGTTGTCTGCTCATCGGGCAGAGATGAAGAGTTGCCAGATCGTAGACAAAGGTTGCCTTTTTGGATTCCATGATGTGAATCATAGGTGGCATTTTTGTCTTAGCCATAATAAAATCAGTCTCATTTCTTAATTGTCGGACCTTGTACAATTAGTATAGAATAATTTTGTCACTGTTCACGTAAACTCGCATGTATTTATTTTACCTCTCCATCCCCATGTTCATTTGCGTTTCTCCACAGAGTACCGTACATAGCGTTTTAGGCAAAAGTCACCGGTTATATTTCGGGTCTGGTTTAATTGTGCCACTTGCGTGGCTAAAATTATGATATGTGCGCCAGCTTATATCACTATCCTAAGCTAGACCGCTCCATTCTGTCTGTCTTAATTGTTTCTGTTGTCCTTGTATTCCTGATTTTTTCCTTCGTGGGTCATTTTCCGTCTCGTTCAGTCTCCTTATTATTTTGCACTTGTCTCCTCTCCTGTGTGTCAGAATCTGCTCTCTTCTATTTTGGCCAGGCGTAACTCGTAAGAGACCAAGCTGGTTCGCACCTATTTTCTACAGAAAGTCATTTCGGACCACCATTGCCAGTTTTAAAATTGCGAGTATTTTACTTTGCCCACAGGGTACCAGCATTCCGAGTGGTGATACGTGAACGACACGACGCTGTGAGCTATTACTTCATGATCAATGGCAGAGGTCAGTGAACTTTGAACTCTTTCAGAACCGGGCGTCTCACCAGGCGTTTGTTGATTATTCTGTGTGTGGATTTTCTGTCCAGGACATTCACGTGTGCGAGGTAAAGAGTTGGTTGATTGGTTAGCTGCTGCGGCTTCAGGTGTGCTACTTTATGATAAAGCCGACGTGGTGAAGGCTCTCTGGGATCAAATGAACAGTTTAATAGAACAGACAGAAAATCCATAAACGGAAAGATTCATTCAACGGGGAGTGAGTAGAGGTTCTAGAAGATATTCAGAAAAGAAATTCTGGAAGATATTCATCACTGAGAGGGGAAGCATAGGCGGACTTTTAATCAGGTTGCAAGTGGTATTATAAATATGTCGACTCTTCGCTGGATACTGCAGAATGGGACGGAGCACGTGTGGGAATGTCCCAAGTGCATTTCCTGGGTCATCCTAATTGACTCATTTATTTATTTTACGTTTGGTATGCATTAGTATGTATTTGGTACGCACTTGGTATGCATTAGTATGTACTGGAACGCATTAGTATGTATTTAGTACGCGCTTGCTATGCATTAGTATGTACTGGAACGCATTAGTATGTATTTGGTACGCACTTGCTATGCATTAGTGTGTACTGGTACGCATTGGCGTGTATTTGGGTTGTGTTCATGTGCATTGGTGGGCGTTTGGGTTGCATTGGTGTGCATTGGTGGGCGTCCGGGTAGCATTGGTGGGCAAAAGTGGGCATTTGGGTTTCATTGGTGGCTATTTAGCTTACACTAGTGTGCATTGGTGGGTATATGACATGCATTTGAGTGGATTGATGTCCATTTGGGTTGATTTAGTATGCACTGGTGTGCATTTGGGTTGTATTGGGGTGCATTTGGGTTGTATTGGGGTGCATTTGGGTTGTATTGGGGTGCATTTGGATTGTATTGGTGTGCATTTGGGTTGTGTTGGTGTGCATTTGGGTTGTATTGGTGTGCATTTGGGTTGTGTTGGTGTGCATTTGGGTTGTGTTGGTGTGTATTTGGGTTGTGTTGGTGTGCATTTGGGTTGTGTTGGTGTGCATTTGGGTTGTGTTGGTGTGCATTTGGGTTGTGTTGGTGTGCATTTGGGTTGTGTTGGTGTGCATTTGGGTTGTGTTGGTGTGCATTTGGGTTGTGTTGGTGTGCATTTGGGTTGTGTTGGTGTGCATTTGGGTTGTGTTGGTGTGCATTTGGGTTGTGTTGGTGTGCATTTGGGTTGTATTGGTGTGCATTTGGGTTGTGTTGGTGTGCATTTGGGTTGTGTTGGTGTGCATTTGCTATGCATTTAGTATGCGTTTATATGCATTAGTGTGTATTGGTATCCACTGGTATGTATTGGGTAACTTCTTCTTTCTAGCGTTTCTGACGTTTTTATTATTTCTACTTTCGGAGCTACCAGGGGCACTGAAGAACCGGAACCCGGTGTCTTTTGGCCCTTGAGTCCTCCTCCTAGGACAAATTGGTAAAAGTACTAGGTGCCCCTACCCGAATTATATATATATATATATATATATATATATATATATATATATATATATATATATATATATATATATATATATATATATATATATATATATATATATATATATATATATATAGCTATCGTTTTAAGATTTCTGTTTACTTGCTCTCAAAGGGCCTTCACAACATCTAGCTTGTCATACATCAATTCTCTACCAAGTGGTGCAAAACCGGCAAGACTGTCTGCCCGCTCGTTCACTAACACACTGGCATCAGCTGGAGCAAATATCCAAATAACACTAACTACCCAAGAAAAACGGAGAAGGAGCACTGGGAGGCAGGCAAAGAAAAAGATGCCCGAATAACTTGGGTGTATGAGTGGGGCGAGACAAGCGCACAGATCTGATCTGTGATTCCAATGATGATGTGAGGTGGCGAAACATGGCCGTCTACTCCTCGTGTGGGTTCTTGTGCCCCATTTCCGGGGGGGGGGGGAGAGAATAGACCAGCTGCCCTTCAGCAAGCATGCCGTACAAAGCAACTAGCTAGGCATGTTTTCTTTGAAATCGGAGTTCATCTGCCTGTGAAGCGAGGCACCAACAGGGTGCATACAAATAAGCCAGATCTGTAAAACGGATGTGCACGAAAAACTAGAACAGGACCAAAGTCTAGAAATGGACGAACAACCAGAACTTGTCATCAGGGTTCACATCTGGTTAAGCCAAGAAGAAGAAGAGTAATATGACGGCGTAGACATACCTGCATGTAGAAATGATAATATCGTTAAACAGCAAAGACAAACACTGTGACAAATAAACAAAACATGGCGTGTTCCTGCAGCGAATATGCAGAAGCTGCTTGGAAATCCGCACCACTTGAAGGCCAGCCAATTCAAACAAATCCGTGTTCTCAGAGCACAGGACATGTTTGGGGTGAGTCTGTAAACACGCTGTGAACAATAGGACATGTTTAGGGTGAGTCTGTGAACACGGTGTGGGCATTAGGACATGTTTGGGTGAGTGTGAATACGCTGTGAACACGCTGTGAACAATGGAATATGTCTGGGGTGAGTCTGTGAACACGCTGTGAACAATAGGACGTGTCTGGGTTGCGTTTGTAAACACGCTGTGAACAATATGACGTGTCTGGGTTGTGTTTGTAAACACGCTGTGAACCATGGAATATGTTTTGAGTAAATGTGAACACGCTGTGAACCATGGGATATGTTTAGAGTGAGTCTGTGAACACGCTGTGAACCATGGGATAAGTCTGGATTGAGTCTGTGAACACGCTTGTGAAGAATAGGACGTGTCTGGGGTGTCTGTGAAGAGTAGGATTCTTAGAAAGAATAGTTTGGTTGGCTGCGTCGGTAGGTTCAGCACTAACTCCCTAAAAAAAAAAAAATACACAACTGGATGCTTAAAAGTAATTTAAAGTAAAAAGTAGAGAATCTTTTCTAAACTTCTATTACACTTTGCTACATATATTTTGTGCTCGATTTGTTGTTGTTGTTATTGTTGTTGTTTGTTGTTTGTTTAATAGTGAGGATTAGATCATTCTCAATCTAATATCCCGATAATTGCCCTTACTTCACAAAAATTCAGCGGATAAGTCCGTATTTGTAAGTGTCAGGCTTTTGGTTTTATTTTGATATGATTAGACCATGTTGTTGTTGTTGTTGTTGTTGTTGTTGTTGTTGTTGTTGTTGTTGTTCTATGTCTTCTTCCGCTTCTTCTTGTTCTTGTTCTTCTTTGAATTTTTTATTCATTTTCACATTTGCCTACGTCAGAGATTCCTTAAGCGTCGCTCGTTTTCGTTGTTTCAACATAGAAACCTCACACTTGTGAAGTAAAGTAATACAGTATCCCTATTTCGAAAGTAAAGTAATGCAGTCTGCCTACTGCGAAAGTAAAGTAATGCAACCCTCCGCATTGTCTAAGTAAAGTAATGCAGCCCTCCCCATTGTCCAAGTAAAGTAATGCAGCCCTCCACATTGTCCAAGTAAAGTAATGCAGCCCTCCCCATTGTCCAAGTAAAGTAATGCAGCCCTCCACATTGTCCAAGTAAAGTAATGTAGCCCTCCACATTGTCCAAGTAAAGTAATGCAACCCTCCACATTGTCCAAGTAAAGTAATGCAGCCCTCCCCATTGTCCAAGTAAAGTAATGCAGCCCTCCACATTGTCCAAGTAAAGTAATGTAGCCCTCCCCACATTGTCCAAGTAAAGTGATGCAGCCCCCCCCCCCCCCCATTGTCCAAGTAAAGTAATGCAGCCCTCCATACTGTCCAAGTAAAGTAATGCAACCCTCCACATTGTCCAAGTAAAATAAGGCAGCCCTCCACATTGTCCAAGTAAAGTAATGTAGTCTCCCCATTGTCCAAGTAAAGTAATGCAGTCCTCCACATTGTCCAAGTAAAGTAACGCAGCCCTCCCATTGTCCAAGTAAAGTAATGCAACCCTCCCTATTGTCCAAGTAAAGTAATGCAGCCCTCCCCATTGTCCAAGTAAAGTAATGCAGTCCTCCACATTGTCCAAGTAAAGTAATACAGTAATCGCGCCACTGACGCCAACTCCCGGCAGGAAGAGGCCATCACGAGCCCCGGCTGCAAGAGAAGCTATACCGTGACCACGGACACGGTCTGCGAGATGCTGTCCATCAACTGTAGTGAACTGCAGGACGCCATGCTGACCACCTCCTCGGTGTATGAAACAGCCCCGGAACACATCCGCTTTTTAGGGTAAGAACGCAGGCGTGTGGCCTTTCAAACATTGTATGTTTGTGTGTCGAACGATGATGAGAGAGAGGCTGAAGCTGTTGGACTCGATTTCCTCCATGATACTGAACTGTTTCCACAGGATAGAACGGGGTGGACGAATAGACTGCGAGCCTTATGAGACATGTATGGGCACAACAGGGCAATGAATGAAAAGTGTGTGTGTGAGAGCACCGATAAATGCAGTACGAGTGGCCGCCTAGGTGTAGAGGCTAGGCACTCGTCTGTGATTCGAAAGGTTGTGAGTTCGAATCTGAACAGAGTCGGACTCCCCCCCCCCCCCCCCCCCCCCCCCCCCCCCCAATGATGTTGGTTCTCAGCTGGACCCAGCTTTGAGAGGGTACCAGGTAAAGTCATTGGAAGCAAAGACGGCCGGCGGACGCTGACTAAATCACCCACCGAGTGTCGATTGGTCTTTAAATTATAGGTCTAGCCCTGTATGCTTAATCCACCTGAAGGCGGGGGAAATGGTCCTTTTTGATGTAGTCGGAATAGCGATGTCGGCCAGGGAAGGTGGATCAAAGAGTAGACTGAGAGGCTGATAAGCTTTGTTTTAATGCTTAATAATAATTATAAATGCAGCAAAAGAAGAAGCATTTAAATATGACTAGGAAATTCTGAAATGTATCATTTAATATTTGAAATTACAAAACAAATCAAAACAAAACGTCTGTCCATTGTTAGTAGTGTAGTAGAGCTTTACGCACCAATTTATTTTTCCGCTCTTTCCGTCTTTAAGCCATTAAAACACCTCTACATAGAAAATAAAGGAGAAGCGAAACACACCACCCGAGCAAGAGGGGCTATACCTCCAGGTGTAGGTCATGGTGGGGTTAAGATCGTCTGAGGAAATCTGCGGCTCGGCTGAGGCGTGGGATTTAGCTGCGGCTCAGGGTCTGTTGTAGCTTTGTGTGTCCGTGAGTGATGGAGCAAGCCAGGGTGACTGATGCATTCTTGTAAACCACAGCTTCGTCTACATCTGTGTTCGCACCACGGCCTTCTCTATCTATACAGCCGGACCTGGTCAACGTTCAAACTGAATTTTCGATCATATTCTATCATATGATAGATGAGACAAATAGACTGGCTGGTTCTGCACCTCTTTATGGTGAACATGTATCACAAGCTAGACTTTGTATGAGCCCTTTGGGTGCGAGTGAACACTGCGGAGGCACAAATAGATCATTACGGTTTGAGAAGAATGGTTCTGTGAGGAGTGACCAGGGGATCTAGCCGACGCTCAGCCCCCAAGGGAAACGATGAGAGAGATATACAGACAGTTGCCAGTACCATCGGGGCTAGAACTCTTCGCTTTTGCTACAGATGGGGACGGAGGGCTTGGAAGTGTCTGAGCGCTTGCATGTCGCTTACTAATTCAACATTTTATCATATGATGTGCCTAATATTTTGCAGTTCTCTGAACGCCATGAAGAAATTCCCAAAGCTGAAACTGTTGGAAGAAGCGCAGGATAACATCAACATTGCCCACTTTCTGTAAGTCAGTATGTTTCATCTGGTCGGTCTACGTGTCTTTGAAGAGAGGAAGATTAGCGTGGTTAGATTTACTGTTGACAACGTGGTACCAGCTGCAGAAAAAAGACATTGATGTTCAGTCTGGCGTGAAGAGAAATAAAAACACAGACGTTATACCGTTATATATGGATAGAACAATCATTATTTATGCGAAATTGTGAGGAGATGAGACTTCACGAATTCTGTAGCAATGACAACAGCAGCAGTATTAGTAGTAGTAGCAGCAGCAGCAGCAGCAAAAAAGAAAGAAGAACAACAACAACACAGGAAGAAGGAAGAGGGCGTGAGGAGGAGTGGAAGGTGGCGGATATGTGTGTGTATGGGGGGGGGGAAGAGGAAGAAACAAAGGGCGAAGAAAGATGGCGTAGAATATAATAATGTAACAGGCGGGTAAAGTAGGTTGTTAGCCTGGTAATAATTTTGGCTAGCTGCACTTGGTTTACTCAAACTGGCAGGTTTGCAGATTGGAAAACTCCGGAAGTGGCCAGTGAGTCAAAAAGTTGATATAAAGCCCAGCATGGGAGAAAACGCGAGGCGGTCAGACGTGAAAATCTAGTTCTGACTTTTCTTTCAGAGCACGCAAGAGAGTGCCCCGAGTGCTGTGAGGTCAGTTCTTGACTCAACTCAACTGTGAGTTTTGCAAACACATTCTTTATTATTTCTTTTCATTACAATTAAACAATAGTTGGTTGGTTGGTTAGTTGCGTATCCTTTACAGGACGTTGCAGAACCAACCCCAGCAGCCCCTGGCTGTTGTTTGGTTTCTTTAGGCAAATTTACGTCCAGTAGTTTGCCATTGCCCACTGGACGGTCGGCCCCCTGATACCACTGTCAAAACCTAGGCAAAAGTGCATGACCCGCAGCTGGGATTGAACCCGGCACCCCGACATTACGAAGCGTTCGCATCGACTTAGCCACAGGGCCGACTAAACGATAGTACTCTTCCGTTATCCTTACATTTAAATGTTGAATGTTAAATTAAGAATCGACATCATAGCACTCGGGACACTTCCATAATCGCTCCGTCCCGATCCTCAGTACCTAGCGAAGAGTTCCTATTGTGATAGCACCAGTAACTGTTTGATTTTACATCCGTCTCTCCTTACCCGCAGTATCCATTTGTTTAGAAGGATTGTATATAGATTTTATGTATAGATTTTCTATGTAGATTTTACAGTATTCTGAGATTAGCTTGTGTGATTTAAAATGGTAGGGGTCTCAAGGCTTTATACAGCCTAGGGCTTCATAGAGTCTAGATCCGGCCCTGCCATGCACCGAGTAAGGCAACATAACATGTTTTGTTGTTGCAGGGGTGGAGCTGTTGTGACTACTAATGTTGAGCAATCCGACTACGTCTACTTCGTCTACTACGTAAGTTGTCAGACTGTCAGAACCTCTTCTTCTTCTGCTTCTTATTCTTGTTAGTTGGCAAATAATTAGTTCTCCTCACTGAACATCGGAAAAGTCCGTAAGCGCTTGGACCCAATCTTCACTATATCCCCGAGCGTGTGGCAAATGATAACACCAGTTATGTGTTAGTTTACTATTCTTCTTTGGCTACATGCAAAATGTTCTTTTTTTTTTTGGTGACACCTCTTTCGACCTGAATTTTTTGTTACGTTGTGAGTTTTGCCGATTGATTCAGCGTTGTCTCCTGAATCATCTTCTCGTCTTGTCGTCTTCTTTGTCTTGAAAATAATAATATTAATAATAATAATAATAATAATAATAATAATAATAATAATAATAATAATAATAATAATAATAACAATAACTGTTGATACTTGTGAATGCCCAGACACGTCTCTTATTTATTTTATCTTGAATTCATCAAATTTCATCTTCAACATATTCCTCAGGCATTTTTTTTTTTCGAAAGCATTTAACTTCCATTCCCCATCTCTCTCTCTCTTTCCCTCTCCCTCTCTCTCTCTCTCTTCTCTCTCTCTCTCTCTCTCTCTCCCTCTCTATCTCTCTCTCTCCCTCTCTATCCCTCTCTCTCTCCTTCTCTCTCTCCTTTTCTCTCTCCCTTTCCCTCTCTCTCTCTCCTTCTCTCTCTCCTTCTCTCTCTCCCTCTCCCTCTCGCTCCCCCTCTCTATCCCTCTCTATCCCTCTCTCTCTATCCCTCTCTCTCCTTCTCTGTCTCTCTCTCTCTCTCTCTCTCTCTCTCTCTCTCTCTCTCTTAGTGGTTATCAAACTTTCATTTGCAAATGTTAACGCTGAAAAAAAAATACAACTTAAAACACATAACATGGTTTTAAAACGATAGAATTCAAACTGGCAAATTGTATTCAGACTTTGCAAAGCTGCTGATGTGTCTGATAACTTCTTTGTTTGTATATCCTTCATCATTGAAATTACTACCTACAAAAGTATTAGGATCATATAGCCGAATTAAAATCTTTTTCTGACAGGGCACCTGCGATGTGTTGAAGGAGATCCCTCCACCTCAGAGTGCAGTGGAGGCTTACAGTAATGTTTGTCTGTCTGCCTGTCTGTCTGTCTGCCTGTCTGTCTGTCTGTCTGTCTGTCTGTCTGTCTGTCTGTCTGTCTGTCTGTCTGGCTGGCTGGCTGGCTGTCTGTCTGTCTGGCTGGCTGGCTGGCTGGCTGTCTGTCTGTCTGTCTGTCTGTCTGTCTGTCTGTCTGTCTGTCTGTCTGTCTGTCTGTCTGTCTGTCTGTCTGTCTGTCTGTCTGTCTGTCTGTCTGTCTGTCTGTCTGTCTGTCTGTCTGTCTGTCTGTCTGTCTGTCTGTCTGTCTGTCTGTCTGTCTGTCTGTCTGTCTGTCTGTCTGTCTGTCTGTCTGTCTGTCTGTCTGTCTGTCTGTCTGTCTGTCTGTCTGTCTGTCTGTCTGTCTGTCTGTCTGTCTGTCTGTCTGTCTGTCTGTCTGTCTGTCTGTCTGTCTGTCTGTCTGTCTGTCTGTCTGTCTGTCTGTCTGTCTGTCTGTCTGTCTGTCTCTGTCGGTCTGTCTGTCTGTCTGTCTGTCTGTCTGGCTGGCTGTCTGTCTGGCTGTCTGTCTTTCTTTCTTCATGTGCGGCTGACGATATGAACACAGTCTGACATTCATTGGTTTTTAGGTTGTAGAATTACTAAGATATTATGATATATGCTGAGAGAAGCAGAGCACGGTAGAGTGTCTCTGTTATCACAGAACGTTGGACAGCGTCGCCAGACCTGGCATTCGACATTATACCAGTGATTTTGCACAGATAAGTGCAACAGATTTACCTCTGCTCACTGGGTTCTAGTGAAGCCGCCGTGGTTCAGCCGCTAGACACTGACCTGTACACCCAAAAGCCATAGGTTCAAATTCAAACGTAACCGAACTTTAAAAAAAAAAATACCCTGGCTCCCAGGGTGACCCAGCCTTAAATGGGTACCAGGTAAAGTTCTGGAAAGTTAAAGCTTGATATTGACCACATCATCCACCGAGGGGCCGATTTTTTTCTATAAAATATAGGTATAGTCCTAAATGCCCTTATACGCATGAAAGCGTGGAAAGTGATCGTTACTTTCTGGGTTCTAGTCTGCTGACAAAGACGAGCGAAGGGAACGTTATAAACTTGAGCCTGGTCCTACTCCCCGTCATATGTGTAGTCTTCATCATCATGGATCATGACGGCGTGAAGAAAATATCGTTGCAGAAAGTTACCAGGGGATCTGCCCGACGCTCAACACTCAAGGGAAAGGCGGGACAGGTGTACAGTGAGACAGTTACTAGTAACATATGAATTGGAACTCTCCACTTGCTGCTGAAGATGGGAACGAAGCGCTTATGGGAGTTTCTCGAGTGCTGTTAATTCAACATTAAGTAGTTCCTTGATGTTAAAATCTCTCAACAAACTAATCTTCCTTGATGTTAAAATCTCTCAACAAACTAATCTTCCTTGATGTTAAAATCTCTCAACAAACTAATCTTCCTTGATGTTAAAATCTCTAAACGAACTAATTTTCCTTTATGTTATAATCTCTAAACGAACTAATCATCCTTGAAAAGATCCCTTTTCATGTCTTTAGGTGCATCGGGCATATAGGAAGAGCGTCCCATATTTTTACAGACCAATCGGCACTGGATGGGTAATGTGGTCAGCATTACCCTGACCGTCTTTACTTCCGCAGGACATACATCCTGGTACCCATTTTAGGCCGGGTCAACCTGGGACGCCCCATACCACAATGAAAAATCCACGCAGCCAGCAGTGGGTTTTGATCGCGGTACGTTGGAATTAAGAGTCGGACTCGCAACGCCTAAGCCACGGACGCCGCTACTTATACAGTGTACTGAACTTGATAAAGCTAATGTTAAATCAGTCCCGCTTAGATCACATACAAGTAAAGGACCCGTTTCCACCCCTTGAGGCTTATTGGGCATATAGGGCTAGACCTAAATTGTATCGACCAAACGGCATTCTGTGTGTCATGTTGTGAACATCCTGCCGACCGCCTTTTCTTCCCATGACTTCCCATTTAAGGCTGGGTCGAGGGGAACAAGATATTGGGGGGGGGGGGGTGTATAGTACAGGTCCGTCAGGATCTGAACTCACAACCTTCAGAGCCAGGCGAGCCAGTACTGCTGTACGTATGCGAAACATTGTAATTAACTACAAACGCCTTATGCACTAGACCTTGTGCAGTATGAGGTAATTAGACGGGATGGTAAAATAAAAATGTGGAGCTTTGGGAGAAAAGTAAACGAATTACCGTGAATTATGGGGTTAGGGAAAGACGCTGGCGTCGGATAGGGCACACGCTGAGAAAGCTTGAGCAACAATATAAGTAGAGGGGCTTCACGCTGAACTCACATGAACATAGAAATAAAGGTACATAAAATAAAGAAGAAAAAATCACGGAGTAGGGAACTAGTCGGTGCAGTTGAAGAGGTGGGGAGGACATGGGGTGAGCAGCAACAACAAAAAAAGCGAGAAAAAGATTTCGTGAATTTAACTGTGTATTTCTGATGATAATAAAATAACATGAACTAACGTTTTTAAAATTTATTTATCCTTAGCTAAAGCGAAACTTCTTAAAGATGTAAGTGCAGACGCACATTATCATCGTCATCATCATTATCATCATCATCATCATCATCAGCATCATCATAATCATCATCATCATCATCATCATCATTATCATCACCATCATCCCCATTGCCAAAATCTGTTGGTGTCATTATTTGCAACACAGAAAGTCTCCTTTTCCACTCAGTTTTATCCTCGGCAGACCTGTCGATTTGGTGAATGGAATTCTGTTAAGCACTTCTGTCCTGTCTCAACACTCCAATGTTTTAGGTTTCTCCTAGGCGTCCTTATTTCCCCAGTCTTGTTTGTTTCCAATTTCAGTACCTTTTTGGTGATTCTGAAGATGTGTCCAATATAGCGCCATCCTTTTGATTTCATAGCTGTGGGTAGCAGTGGGTGTCCCGATATTTCTCCTATTTCTTTGTCTATCTTGAACACATACATCATCCCATTTATTGGTCATCACTTTCCTCAAACATTTGTTATCCGTTTTCACGCTTTTAGGCGTATCGGGCATATGGGAGAGCACCCATATTTTTACAGACCAATCGGCACTAGGTGGGTAATGTGGTCAGCACTACGCCGGTCGCTTTTACTACGCCTGGACATTACATCCTGGTACCCATTGTGGGCTGGGTAGACCTGCGACTCCCCATACCATGATGAAAACCACACAGCCAGCAGTGGGTTTCGATCGCGGTATGTTGAAATTACGAGTCGAACTCGCAACTCCTAAGCCACAGACGCCAAACATTTGTTATCGAGTCCATTTAACTATCGTGTCTGTATTGGTAACACACATACACACGGGCACACACACACACACACACACACATAGGAAGTTTATTCCAGCAGGCATCATCCGTCTCCAATCATCTCTGATTAACATTCTTTTTCTGGCTAGCGACTCTATTGATTGGAGGGTCTGCGTGTATATTAACTCTCCACCTTCTCCGAGAGCGGCCTTGTGGTCTTCGCTGGGGATACGGAGTTCGAGCTTTGTCTGCCGGACCTCGAATTGTGGTTAGCAGTCCTTTGGAGAGAGACCAAGCCATGTGGGATTAAAAAGCAGCACTATAAAGTCCATCCTCTCAACTTTTAAACTGGCAATACAAATCCTCTCTTTTAGGAGAAACAATAACCAACGACCACACATGGCTAGGGGAGTTGCCGTCGTGCAGTGGATAGACGCTAGCCTGCGGATCGAAAGGTCGTGGGTTCGGGTCTTGAAGGAACCGGGATTTCTTCACAGCTTTCTTTTACCAGGTCGATACACCCTTGAGTGGGTACCAGGTGCAGTCCTGGGAAGTAAATGCTGCCGGCGTTATGTTGACCACATCACCCACCAAGTGCCGATTGTCTATAAAATATAGGTCTAGCCCTACATGCCCAATACTCCTTGTGGGGTTTCCTGGGCCCCGGTGTGGGGAAAACAAACAAGGATAGACCCGCCCTCCCCCCTTTTCCACAGCAAGCATGTTGTAAAAGTCGACTAATTAGGGATGTTCTTCAAAGTCGGAGTGCATATGCCGAAGAAGCAAGGAACCAAAGTCTGCATGCAAATAAATCTGTAAAATCGATGTGCACGCAACAGTCAGGTTCTGGAACAAGTGTCAAGTCCCGAGCTGGTTGAACAACCAGAACTTTCCGCCGGAGTTTACAGCCGGTGAACGCGAAGAAAGAGAAGACATGCCCAATACTCCTAAAGGGGCGGAGAAGGGTCCTTGGCTTACATGCAGCTACCACTGAGCGAGCTAGGCAGTTTGCCTCTCAAGGATTGCAGTGTGCAGGACTAACGTCTCACAGATAGGAAACTAGTAGTCACAGATCCCGGACACCCTCTTCAGCCTCAGAGTTGAGTGCCTTTCAAAACTCATGCCGTCATACTTTAACAAATATCTCGAAAACTTCGGTACTGATCGACAGGAAGTTTTGCACGTGGCCTTAGATTTCTCATGTCATTATGATTCTCTAGTTTGCAATTGCGCAGATGCTGCTGTTTTTCTAAAGCGGTAAATTTCTTTGATTTTTGATCCTATTATTCTACATTGTCAATTCGATTCGTGCCAGGAGCTTACAGCGAAGTCCATTTCGTTCTTTGCTTTACGATTGTATAGCTGGGCATAGATATTTTAGGTTTGAGATTTTGAACAACGGATCAACATCATGGCACACGGGTAGTAACCCATAAGTGCTCCGTTCTTCTTTTAACTCAAGTCTGAGTCAGAAGAGGCTCGGCACAGTGCACAGGCGAGGATTCTGAAATACTTTAGGTTGATTTTTAACTCCAAATTTTTACCGGGGCACCGCCGTTAGGCTACTCTTTTCGATTTTCAACTGCCAAGAAATTCCTTACCTGCGCAATAATGCACACGGTCGTCCTACCTTACTGCTCGGAGACCACAGGGAATTATAGTAAGTCCAAAGCCATGTGAAAAAATCTCAGCCCTTACTGGGGATTGAACCCGAAACCTCTAGCACTCGAGGCTAACACCCTGGGTATAGATGTATACTGGCTCAGTCGTTCTGATTTTTTAGAAGATTCAGGAGCCTTTCTCCAGAAATCATAGTTTTTTCATTCACAGGCGAATTTTATCGTGTTTTAGAAGAGAGTGAATGGTTAATAAAACTTTTTTTTTTCTTTGTGATACTACCAAAAAGTGAATTAAGAAAATGTTAACTTGTTTCTTTTTCTTCGTGTGTTCGCTTTCTGATTTACACCCACAGAAAAGTTCTTGTGATAAACTTCACTGTTTTTATTAGTTTCCCTTCAGTCCCATAAAACTCTATATGAGTGCAATTTTTACACACTGGGCCAGATTTCACCTTCTTAATGGGCTGTACAAGAGACATTCTTGCAGGACATGTTCTGTAGTCTGACACACATCCCACCGTGGGCAAAATGGTGAAAAACCTATATGTCAAAGAAAAGACAAATATTTGATAGCAGTTTCAGAATTATTATGAAATTCAAAAGGGGGAATACGATGTTTGTAGCTCAGCTGGGAAGATGCTAAAGGAGCAAAAGAAGAAGCAAAAGAAAAAGCAGCAGTAGAAGCTTCTTTTCTGTAGCTGCTATAAGTAATACAAATTTTTTTTAAAGTTTCGGTTAGTTTACAGGACGTTGCAGAACTAACCACTTCATTTGGGAAGGGAAAGTTGGGGGGGGGGGGGGGGGGGGTAACTAGGCGATTAAAGAATCCCTAGTTTGCCATTCATAACTGAACGGTCAGCGCTCAATAAGTTAGTCAAAATCAACACAAAATGGTCTGCTGTCAAAAAGCAGGCAGCTGAAACGGAACCAGGTATCTTGGAATTACTAATCGCCTAAAGCAGCCCAATATTCCAAAGAAGCCGACGTTAGTTCAAAGCCTGCGCATCAATACAACAAATGTTTTTTTTGTGTGAACAGGAGGATATCATGGCTGAGGGGTCAATCTCGCCTCTGAGCCGAAAGAGTGTGCTGATCCGGGATGCTACCAAACCAGAAGAAGTCGAAGGAAGCCCATTTTATGTGGATAATTCGACGCAGCGAAGGGTAGCTATTTTTACTTCTTAAATATCAATGTATGAGTTCCGTGGCCCGCTGGGGGGCTGAGGGCGGGGGAAGAGATCTTCTAACAATCATGTTGTAAAAGGCGATTAATTATCGTTTTGTTTGAAAGGAATGTGCTGGGCCGAAAGATGCAAGCACTGCGACCTAGCTGTAAAGCACAACACCCCGTGCCATGCACAATTTTAAGCGCAAACGCGAAAGAAGAAGTTGTCATGTGGCAAGACTACAACCAGAGTATGCACCACACAGAAGCCCTGTCACTTAGACATAACGGAAGCAGAGCCAGAGGTCAACCACGCAAAACATGCATTGATGGAATATCCGAGGCCGTAAACCAGCTTCTTCTTAGTAATACTAAGGCTCGTACCCGATGCCTCTCTAAAACCTGAAGCTGAAATGCGAAACATGACTAGAAAAGAAGAAGAAGAAGAAGAAGAAGAAGAAGAAGAAGAAGAAGAAGAAGAAGAAGAAGAAGAAGAAGAAGAAGAAGAAGAAGAAGAAGAAGAAGAAGAAGAAGAAGAAGAAGAAGAAGAAGAAGAAGAAGAAGAAGAAGAAGAAGAAAGAAGAAGAAGAAGAAGAAGAAGAAGAAGAAGAAGAAGAAGAAGAAGAAGAAGAAGAAGAAGAAGAAGAAGAAGAAGAAGAAGAAGAAGAAGAAGAAGAAGAAGAAGAAGAAGAAGAAGAGGTAGAAGAAGAAGGAGGGTGAGCATTGGCCCTTAGTCAACTCATGCCAAGTTGTCCATCGCAAAGACCCTGTAGTTATATTGTCAGTTTTCCTCAATATGTGTCTTATCCAACGCCAACGTCTATTTGCTACCTTTAGTTCATACAATATTGTTAATTATTCATTGTTAATTTTGAATATAATCTTTATCGCACATCGGGCATGACCATAAGTGCTCCGATCTCTTCTGAGTATGTTTCCAAGTATTTTTAGGCTATCAAATCCCATTTTTTCTTAGAGCTAATGTAATGACTAGTGGCTCCCGCATAGGTTTCCTGTCTTGCAGATCCAGTTGGTACACCCGGAATATGTAGTCTGCTCACTAAAAATAAATTATTGTCCACGAAACTGGAAGCCTCCCAGCGTTTAGTCTCTCGTATGCCGTTGAAGATATCTCTCCTGTCCATAGACGGTTCATTCGCGCTCTCTCATTGCCGTTCACAGCAGCATTCAGTGGGACAAAAACGAAGGTGATTTTGCGAAACGCTGCGTGCTTTATCAGATGTAGTCACTGTTTCCGTTTGTACCCCGCCGTGATCTTCTGTAGCATGTTCGTCGAGTCGCTGAGCAAACATGCTTAAGGGAATTCCTGAGTTTTCAGGCATTCTAGGGCCTTTTGACAGCGATGACCTCCATTATCATGCTACTTGTGGTAGAAGCAAAGGCTCCACTAACTTCTTTGATGACTTTCCCTTGGGTTCTTGCCATCAAAGCCCATGCGCTTCGCTTGTTCATACATTATGTTAGTATTAATGTTTCATGTTTCAGAGTTACTTCGCCAATCGACTAGATTACATTGAGTCCAGAGAAAACCTTCGCAATGTGTTTGCGAAAGAGATTGAGAAGCGCCAAAATGAGTACATCAGTTACAAAAATGCATTCATGGGTAATATACTTCTTGTACTAAACTTCACCATCAATTACTTATTCGTTATGTAACTTTTGTAACTTGTTGTTCTCGCTAAAAGTATGTGTCACAAACTAAACCCGACACAGATGTCTTATAGTTTCTAACTTTAGCTTTGGAGCAAGCATGTTCCGTGCTGGAGTGCAAGCATTGCTTCAGAGGTCCCGGGTAGCTAGTATTCTTTGGATATTTTCTCCAGGTGCTGCTGCTGTGTTGGGAAACGAGCAGACAGTAAACTGGCTGGCTTTGTACCACTTGGTTGTGAATAGATGTATGACAAGCCGAATGTTGTGAGGGCCCTTTAGAAGCGAGTGAACAGTGCGGAGGCACGAATAGACATTACACCCTGAGGAGAACGGCACCGCGGGGAGTTACCAGCGAATCTGGCCTTCGCTCAACACTCAATGAAAGAGCGAGACGGATATACTGGTACCATTCGGAATTCTAACTCCTTGCTTGCTGCCAAAGATGGGGACTGAGTGCTAATCGAAGTGTCCCAAGTGCTGTGATGTCGATTCTTGATTTGAATACAATTGTGGGTCATAAACTAGTCCTGACAGACATGTGGGTGAATTTTATTAGGAAAAGGGTGCATTCGGCTTGCCAGTCCCCTAGAACTTTTGCAGCTCAGGCTGCAGACTCCCGCGGATAGTTATAGTTCATGCAATTCTGGAATTTAGTCTTATTCCAGAATTTGAGTTTTGCGGACACATCCATATAACAAATCTGGCTTATTTGTATTCAGACTGTTGGTATCTCGCCTCTCGACAGATGTGCTCTAACTTAGAAGGAAACATCCCTAATTAGTGGACCTTTACGACATGTCTGTTAGAGGACAGGGGGTCTACCCCCACCCCCTCCCTAAATGGGGCCTTGGAACCCGCAGAGGAAGTCACACACACACACACACAAAAAACACTGCTCTAATAATCCTAACGGTAGCCGCTAAGGTGTAGTGGTAAGACGCCCGCTTGCGGATCGGAAGGTCGTATGTTCCAGGTCCTGATGAAGACGGACATTTTCCAAAAAAAAAATAACCTGAGCTCCTAGGTCGACTCAGCCATAAATGGTTACTAGATAAAGTCCTGGGAAGTAAAGGCGATAGGAGTGATGTTGACCCCCTGACCCACCGAGTGCTGAATGGTCCATAAAAATAGGTCTAGCCCTATATGCCCAATACGCCCGAATGTGTGGACAAGGGCTCATAATACCAGCACGCCTTTGTTGAACGACTCATTCATCCCTCATTGTCCAAACACGCCTAAGCAAGACTTATCAATGCTGTGAAGTGTCTAAGAAGACCTTGCTACACGAGGACTGTGAGCACATCGAATTTCTGATTCCACAGCTGAGGCTCGAGAGCTGGAAGACAAATGCCGCCAGATCGCCACGACGATACCCATTGGAGCACGCAAGAGGCTTCTGGGAGGAAAGATAGCCTGTCCCCGTCCGCCTCCCATTAACTTCCATTCTTCTCTCAGATTGAACAGACCGGTAAGTCAACTATTGATGGATGCCATGCAACATTGGTAAGTCAACTAATGATGGAGACCATGCAACATTAGTAAGTCAACTATTGATGGATACCATGCAACATTGGTAAGTCAACTATTGATGGATACCATGCAACATTGGTAAGTCAACTATTGATGGATGCCATGCAACATTGGTTAGGTCAACTATTGATGGATACCATGCAACATTGGTAAGTCAACTAATGATGGAGACCATGCAACATTGGTAAGTCAACTATTGATGGATGCCATGCAACATTGGTAAGTCAACTAACGATGGAGACCATGCAACATTGGTAAGTCAACTATTGATGGATACCATGCAACATTGGTAAGTCAACTATTGATGGATACCATAAAACATTGGTAAGTCAACTATTGATGGATGCCATGCAACACTGGTAAGTCAACTATTGATGGATACCATGCAACACTGGTAAGTCAACTATTGATGGATACCATGCAACATTGGTAAGTCAACTATTGATGGATACCATGCAACACTGAAAAGTCAATTATTGATGGATACCATGCAACATTGGTAAGTCAACTATTGATGGATGTCATGCAACATTGGTAAGTCAACTATTGATGGATACCATGCAACACTGGTAATTCAACTATTGATGGATACCATGCAACACTGGTAATTCAACTATTGATGGATACCATGCAACACTGGTAATTTAACTATTGATGGATACCATGCAACATTGGTAAATAAACTATTGATGGATACCCTGAAACACTGGTAAGTCAACTACTGGTGGATACCATGCAACATTGGTAAGTCAACTATTGATGGATGCCATGCAACATTGGTAAGTCAACTATTGATGGATACCATGCAACTTTGGTAAGTCAACTATTGATGGATACCATGCAACACTGGTAATTCAACTATTGATGGATACCATGCAACACTGGTAATTTAACTATTGATGGATACCAAGCAACATTGGTAAGTAAACTATTGATGGATACCCTGAAACACTGGTAAGTCAACTACTGATGGATACCCTGAAACATTGGTAAGTCAACTATAGATGGATACCATGCAACATTGGTAAGTCAACTATTGATGGATACCATGCAACACTGGTAATTCAACTATTGATGGATACCATAAAACATTAGTAAGTCAACTATTGATGGATACCATGAAACATTGGTAAGTCAGCTGTTTATGGATACCATGCAACATTGGTAAGTCAACTATTGATGGATACCATGAAACATTGGTAAGTCAACTATTGATGGATACCATGCAACATTGGTGAGTCAGCTATTGATGGATACCATGTAACATTTGTATGTAACCTAATATTAGCCATCAGGCAACACTGGTAAGTAAATTAATGTTAGACATCGAGCAACATTGGTAAGTGAACTAATGTCACACATCAGGCAACACTGGTAGGTAAACTGTTACACATCAAGCAACATTGGTAAGTAAACTGATTTTTGACTTTAGGCAACATTGGTAAGTGAAGTAATGCTAGACACCAGGCAACATTAGTAAGTGAACTAATGCTAGACACCAGGCAGCATTGGAAAGTGAACTAATGTTAGACATGAGGCAACATTTTTAAATAAACTAATTATATACATCAGGAAACACTGGTAAATGAACTAATGTTAGACATTGAGCAACATTGGTAAGTGAACTAATGTTAGACATTGAGCAACACTGGTAAGTGAACTTATGTTAGACATTGAGCAACATTGGTAAGTGAACTAATGTTAGACATTGAGCAACATTGGTAAGTGAACTAACGTTAGACATTGAGCAACATTGGTAAGTGAACTAATGTTAGACATTGAGCAACATTGGTAAGTGAACTAATGTTAGACACCAGACACCACTGCATTTTCCCAACCCATTTTAGTCGGAGTTTGCCAGTTTGGATGGACACTGCCAGCCGTACCGTCAAGGAGGCATCATTGTGTAAGATTCCCAAAGTCAAAGTAGATGGTATATCCTCTGCTGCCAACTTTCATTGTGGAAACGGATGTATCCAGTGGCGCTACCGTGAAGAAATGGGGGAATTGGCGTGGGGGGGGGAGGGGGGGGGGTGGATTTGGTTTTCTTATAACTTTCTATGGCTGTGCCTGAAGGGGACTGAAGAATTGTGTAAGTACGCAATAATACTCACAATAATGATAATAATAATAATAATACATATTGTTATTATGGGATAAATGATAAAAAAAATAATTTATTTGAAATAATATGAAAGACATTAATAAATACTAATAAAGAGAACCTTTATACATGGTTGCGAAAAAAGGGTCAGCGTTAACTACATGGTTGGGAAACAGGGTCAGGGTTAACTACATGGCTGGGAAACAGGGTCAGGGTTAACTACATGGTTGGGAAACAGGGTCAGGGTTAACTACATGGTTGGGAAACAGGGTCAGGGTCAACTACATGGTTGGGAAACAGGGTCAGGGTTAACTACATGGTTGGGAAACAGGGTCAGGGTTAACTACATGGTTGGGAAACAGGGTCAGGGTTAACTACATGGTTGGGAAACAGGGTCAGGGTTAACTACATGGTTGGGAAACAGGGTCAGGGTTAACTACATGGTTGGGAAACAGGGTCAGGGTTAACTACATGGTTGGGAAACAGGGTCAGGGTTAACTACATGGTTGGGAAAAAAGGGTCAGGGTTAACTACATGGTTGGGAAACAGGGTCAGGGTTAACTACATGGTTGGGAAACAGGGTCAGGGTTAACTACATGGTTGGGAAACAGGGTCAGGGTTAACTACATGGTTGGGAAACAGGGTCAGGGTTAACTACATGGTTGGGAAAAAAGGGTCAGGGTTAACTACATGGTTGGGAAACAGGGTCAGGGTTAACTACATGGTTGGGAAACAGGGTCAGGGTTAACTACATGGTTGGGAAACAGGGTCAGGGTTAACTACATGGTTGGGAAACAGGGTCAGGGTTAACTACATGGTTGGGAAACAGGGTCAGGGTTAACTACATGGTTGGGAAACAGGGTCAGGGTTAACTACATGGTTGGGAAACAGGGTCAGGGTTAACTACATGGTTGGGAAACAGGGTCAGGGTCAACTACATGGTTGGGAAACAGGGTCAGGGTTAACTACATGGTTGGGAAACAGGGTCAGGGTTAACTACATGGTTGGGAAACAGGGTCAGGGTTAACTACATGGTTGGGAAACAGGGTCAGGGTTAACTACATGGTTGGGAAACAGGGTCAGGGTTAACTACATACTTGCAAATTTGTTTGAGGAGAGGGAAAGATTTATACGATTTATTGATTTGGTGATGATGATGATGATAATGATGCTAACGATAATGATGATGATAATGATAATGATGACGATATTGAAGATAATGATGATGATGATAATGATGATGATGATGATGATGATAATGATGACGATAATGATAATGATGATGATAATGATAATAATGATGATGATGATAATGATGATAATGATGATAATAATGATAATGATACTGATGATGATAATGATGATGAAAATGATGATGATACTGATGATGATAATGAGGATGATGATGATTTCTAATATTTCAGAAAGACACCTCCGCCAACAGCAACTTTGACCTAGGAAAGGTAATGGTGTGTTATATATACTACTAGCTGTACCCGGCCACGCGTTGCTGTGGCCCAGAATGGTGAAATGGAGAGGAAAGAAAATAACTCTCAGCTAACAGTGTCTGTCATATCCCAACCCCCACCCCCTTTTCCAAATCATATCTCCTTCTCTGAAGGATTGAAAAATCATCCATGGCGAAATAATTAAAAAAAGAAATAGTTAGGAAATTAGAACTTTAAAATAATATTTTAAGTTCTCTCAGCTAACTGTGTCTGGCATAAGCCCCCCCCCCCCCCTTTTTTTGCATCATATCCCTCTCTGGAGGATTGAAAAAATCCTCACCTGGCGAAATCATATCTCCCTCTCCGAAGAACTGAAAAATCATCCAAGGCCAAATTTTTAAAATAGAAAAAGTTAAGAAATGAGAACTTAAAAAAATATTTTAAGCTCTCTCAGCTAACTGTGTCTGGCATAACCGCCCCCCCCCCACCCTCCCCCAATCATATCATCCTCTCCGAAGGATGGGAAAGTCACCATGACGAAATATTATAACTAAATTGAGCTTGGCATCCGTGTCCACTCAGACTTAAATAGGTAGCATTAACTTGTACTGAGAAGTAAATGTGGCAAGTGTAACAGCTACCACATCACCCATCCAGTACTGGTACAACTGCAACCACTACCACTACCACCATCACAACAACAACCACAACAAAAACTGTCACTACAGCCTGTGTAGGTTGGTGTAGAAAAGAGGAGTTAGCGCCGCATGCTGTCGCCACGGACTATTTAAGTTAATGTTCCCCCCGAAATAGAAAAAAAAAAACTTGATCACGCAGCCAGTGATGGAACCCACAGTAAAAAGTACACAATACTCACGAATAGCGGAGAAAATACCCCACACCCGTCATCTCTCCCTCTCCGAAGGAACGATTTTCAACTGACCTTGGCATCCGTGTCCACCCAAACTAAACGTGAAGGATGGAATACTTATAACTATACTACGGAACACTGAAGAGTTTAGGTCAGATATCGCAGCCTAGCTGTAAACCACAACACAATTTGCTAACCGCCCTCTCGAAGGCGAACGAAGATTACCCGTGACATGACCAGTGAACATCACGTCGTTGCTGTCACAGGCTAGCTGTAAACCCCAACACAACGTGCCAGCTGCTCAGTTAAGGGCTACAAAAAATATGTTAGATTACCTAGCGGGGAATCGAACGCGGGTCACTCGCATGATAGACAGAATAGTTACAACTACGCTACAAAATACTCAAGCAGAAAGTGGAAATGAAATTATATAGTAATGCAAAGTTCAATAAGAGCTCAGCAGTAAAAAATGGCCAATCAACTAAAAACAAATCCGGGCCGGCAACGAAACAAATAATGATTTTACCGTTGCTGGAGCTACGTCGTTCGTGGTTTGGGAAATTTTCTGACAAAAAAATCACGCTTTCAGTCAAAGGCAACGTTGTATGAAAATTTGAAAGCAATCGATTCAGTAGTTTCCGAGCTTATAGTTAACAAACTCGGAAAATTAAAATTTTTATAAATATAGATTGCCCTCGTGTGAGTTCCGGGAGCCCCTATAAGTAAAGAGGTGGGGGGGGGGGGGTAGACCCACTGCCCCTACCCTAAACAGGCGTGTCGTAAAAGTCGACTAATAAGGTAGGGTTTCCTTCGAATGTGTCTGCCTGAGAGTGATGAGCCAACAGTCTGCATAAGAATAAGCCAACTCTGTAAAACGGACGTGCGCGCTAAACTCAAGTCCTGCAGCAAGATACAATTCCAGAAGTGGTTGAACAACCAAAGCGTTCTGCTGGAGTTCACGCGAACATGTAATTATTAGTCGTCTTTGACACCCCCCCCCCCCTTTCCGCCCAACCCACCCTCAACCAGCCGTTTTTTTGCATGTTTCCCTCATAGGTAGGTAGGTGCTTTGCTGGGGGGGGGGGGGGTTTACACAATTATCACATTCGCCGACCAACATTCACAAAGGGAGGGTTTTAGGCTATAATTGTGACTAGGTTATGTGCGCCATATGAAACGGCATAGCATTAAACGCCACCAAGCAGCTCTGAAAAGGACTTCTGCGCTGTTGATGCGGTCAAAGGAAGACCCAAATACTGTCCCGACCTGCGACAAAGGATAAATCTGTCTCCAAAGCGAAGGCAACCCTAATGTAAGGTCAACCCTAACGTAGGAGCAAACCTAACTAAGGGCAACACTTATGTAAGGGCAACCCTAATGTAAGGGTAATCATAATGTAAGGGCAACAGTAATAAAAGAGCAACCCTAACGTAAGGGCAACCCTAATGTAAGAATGACCCTAATACAAGGGCAACCCGAATTTAAGAGCGACCCTGATATAAGGGCAACCCTAATGTAAAAGTAAATCTAATGTAAGGGCAACCAAAAATAAGGCAACCATAATGTAAGGGCAGCCCTAATGTAAGGGTAACTCTAATGTAAAAAGAATAACTGTAACGTAAGGACAACCCTAATGTAAGGACAGCCTTTATGTAAGGGCAACCCAAATTAGGGGTATCTCTAACGTAAGAGCAACCCTAAAGTAAGGGCAACTCTATAGGCTACAGTAAGTTAGAGCCTCATGTGCTCGCTCTACTCCCAACGCGATAAGGAGATGTTGTTTTCAAGCGTGGCATGCTTACAAATTAGCAACATACAGATGTCAATACGCTGCGCCTCTAAACATGGTACAGTAGTTTCAACAGCCATATGTACATGCAATTTAAGATATAAGGCACAGTAAGGCAAACCTTTTGAAGAAACAATCGAGCAACGGTAGAACGTAAATTCTACGGACCACTAAATGAACTAAAGTGACATTAATGCGAGAGACGAAATTGCAGACATACACAACTCGCTTCAGGCGAACGACATATGTACTGACGACATTCTACTAGACCCTAACACCCCAAACTGGCCGTGAGCATTCTTGCTGGCCAATCTACCTTTTGCGGAACTGCCGTGGTATAGGGGCTAGACACTCACCTCGGACTCGAAGGTTGCAGCTTCAAATCCGCATCGAACCAGATTTTTTAAAAATGACTTCGGTTCCCAAGTCGACCCAACCTAAAATATGTACAAGGTAAAAGCATGGGAAGTAAAGGCGGCAGGTGTGATCTTGCTCCCCAGCGGCCACCGAGTGCTGGTTGGTCTATAAAATGTAGGTTTAGCACTGTATGCTGTATTATTCCTCTTCTTGTCACTCCACGTGGCTAAGTCGATGCGAAGGCTTTGTTGTGCCGGGATGCCGGGTTCGATCCCAGCTGCGAGCCATGCGCCTTGCGTTGGTTTTGACAGTGGTATAAAGAAAGCCGACCGTCCAGAGGCAATGGCAAACGACTGGACGTAAATTTGCCTAGAAAAATCACACAACAGCTAGGGGTTGTTGGGGTTGATTCTGCGACGTCCTGTAAAGGATACGCAACTAACCTAACCTGTCACTCCACAGTCTTTCTTAAACATCTAATTTCCGTGGTTACTAATTTTTTTTTAAATGTTTTGTTTTGAGTGACCATGTTTGACACTGGTAGCATAATGTGGGAATAAATATGCTTTGTACGAGCTGTTTCCTTGTGCTGATTATGATTGCCTTATGCTGTAAGGGAGGGGCTGGGGGGGGGGGGATGGGGCTAGCTGTCCCAATACTGTGTTGTTTTCGTTGTCAAAACTTTAGTCTGTGGCCTACATAAATTACGAAACAATCATGACAGGATCGCATACACCGTGACGTGGTTTATGATATGTCATGATTGTCTTGTGGAAGTGCTGCAGCCTACAATCTGGCTGACTGATTGAATCTATGCCTCACACAGGACAAGCGTGTGGATGAAGTGGATACATCCAGGAAAGTGGCCAGATTGTCTATTGTGATTCCCCAAGATGATCTAGATGACAGCAGGTGAATGGCCGGGACATAGTTACACACTGACAAATATGTAGACACTCGTAGACATTCAGATACGTACACGAACACTCACAGGAATACATGTAGACCCATATGCATACATAGACACAGAAAATCATGTATACAGACAGTTTAGTAGTGGCATACATAGACACAGAACATCATGTATACAGACAGTTTAGTAGTGGCATACATAGACACAGAACATCATGTATACAGACAGTTTAGTAGTGGCATACATAGATACAGAACATCATGTATACAGACAAGTTTAGTAGTGTATCTAGTTGTGTTTCTAGTCTTGTGGTGTATCTAGTTGTGTTCCTTATAATATATCTAGTAGTGTTCCTGATGTGTTTAGTTGTGTTCCTTATAATGTGTCTAGTTGTGTACCTTATAATGTGTCTAGTTGTGTACCTTATAATGTGTCTAGTTATGTACCTTATAATGTGTCTAGTTGTGTTCCTTATAATGTGTCTAGTTGTGTACCTTATAATGTGTCTAGTTATGTACCTTATAATGTGTCTAGTTGTGTTCCTTATAATGTGTCTAGTTGTGTTCCTTATAATGTCTCTAGTTGTGTACCTTATAATGTGTCTAGTTGTGTACCTTATAATGTGTCTAGTTATGTACCTTATAATGTGTCTAGTTGTGTTCCTTATAATGTGTCTAGTTATGTACCTTATAATGTGTCTAATGTGTTAGTTGTACCTTATAATGTGTCTAGTTGTGTTCCTTATAATGTGTCTAGTTATGTACCTTATTATGTGTCTAGTTGTGTACCTTATAATGTGTCTAGTTGTGTTCCTTATAATGTGTCTAGTTATGTACCTTATAATGTGTCTAGTTGTGTTCCTTATAATGTGTCTAGTTATGTACCTTATAATGTGTCTAGTTGTGTTCCTTATAATGTGTCTAGTTATGTACCTTATAATGTGTCTAGTTGTGTTCCTTATAATGTGTCTAGTTGTGTACCTTATAATGTGTCTAGTTGTGTTCCTTATAATGTGTCTAGTTGTGTACCTTATAATGTGTCTAGTTATGTACCTTATAATGTGTCTAGTTGTGTTCCTTATAATGTGTCTAGTTGTGTTCCTTATAATGTGTCTAGTTGTGTACCTTATAATGTGTCTAGTTGTGTACCTTATAATGTGTCTAGTTGTGTACCTTATAATGTGTCTAGTTGTGTACCTTATAATGTGTCTAGTTATGTACCTTATAATGTGTCTAGTTGTGTACCTTATAATGTGTCTAGTTGTGTTCCTTATAATGTGTCTAGTTGTGTTCCTTATAATGTGTCTAGTTGTGTACCTTATAATGTGTCTAGTTATGTACCTTATAATGTGTCTAGTTGTGTACCTTATAATGTGTCTAGTTATGTACCTTATAATGTGTCTAGTTGTGTTCCTTATAATGTGTCTAGTTGTGTTCCTTATAATGTGTCTAGTTGTGTACCTTATAATGTGTCTAGTTATGTTCCTTATAATGTGTCTAGCTGTATACCTTATAATGTGTCTAGTTATGTACCTTATAATGTGTCTAGTTGTGTACCTTATAATGTGTCTAGTTATGTACCTTATAATGTGTCTAGTTGTGTTCCTTATAATGTGTCTAGTTATGTACCTTATAATGTGTCTAGTTATGTACCTTATAATGTGTCTAGTTATGTACCTTATAATGTGTCTAGTTATGTACTTTATAATGTGTCTAGTTGTGTTCCTTATAATGTGTCTAGTTATGTACCTTATAATGTGTCTAGTTATGTACCTTATAATGTGTCTAGCTGTATACCTTATAATGTGTCTAGTTATGTACCTTATAATGTGTCTAGTTGTGTACCTTATAATGTGTCTAGTTATGTACCTTATAATGTGTCTAGTTGTGTACCTTATAATGTGTCTAGTTATGTACCTTATAATGTGTCTAGTTGTGTACCTTATAATGTGTCTAGTTGTGTTCCTTATAATGTGTCTAGTTGTGTTCCTTATAATGTGTCTAGTTGTGTTCCTTATAATGTGTCTAGTTATGTACCTTATAATGTGTCTAGTTATGTACCTTATAATGTGTCTAGTTGTGTTCCTTATAATGTCTCTAGTTGTGTTCCTTATAATGTGTCTAGTTGTGTTGCTTATAATGTGTCTAGTTATGTACCTTATAATGTGTCTAGTTATGTACCTTATAATGTGTCTAGTTATGTACCTTATAATGTGTCTAGTTGTGTTGCTTATAATGTGTCTAGTTATGTACCTTATAATGTGTCTTGTTGTGTTGCTTATAATGTGTCTAGTTGTGTTGCTTATAATGTGTCTAGTTGTGTTGCTTATAATGTGTCTAGTTGTGTTGCTTATAATGTGTCTAGTTGTGTACCTTATAATGTGTCTAGTTGTGTTGCTTATAATGTGTCTAGTTATGTACCTTATAATGTGTCAAGTTGTGTTGCTTATAATGTGTCTAGTTGTGTTGCTTATAATGTGTCTAGTTGTGTTGCTTATAATGTGTCTAGTTATGTACCTTATAATGTGTCTAGTTGTGTTCCTTATAATGTGTCTAGTTGTGTTCCTTATAATGTCTCTAGTTATGTACCTTATAATGTGTCTAGTTATGTACCTTATAATGTGTCTAGTTGTGTACATTATAATGTGTCTAGTTATGTACCTTATAATGTGTCTAGTTGTGTTGCTTATAATGTGTCTAGTTGTGTTCCTTATAATGTCTCTAGTTATGTACCTTATAAAGTGTCTAGTTATGTACCTTATAATGTGTCTAGTTATGTACCTCATAATGTGTCTAGTTATTTACCTTATAATGTGTCTAGTTATGTACCTTATAATGTGTCTAGTTGTGTTCCTTATAATGTGTCTAGTTATGTACCTTATAATGTGTCTAGTTATGTACCTTATAATGTGTCTAGTTATGTACCTTATAATGTGTCTAGTTATGTACTTTATAATGTGTCTAGTTGTGTTCCTTATAATGTGTCTAGTTATGTACCTTATAATGTGTCTAGTTATGTACCTTATAATGTGTCTAGCTGTATACCTTATAATGTGTCTAGTTATGTACCTTATAATGTGTCTAGTTGTGTTCCTTATAATGTGTCTAGTTGTGTTCCTTATAATGTGTCTAGTTATGTACCTTATAATGTGTCTAGTTATGTACCTTATAATTTGTCTAGTTATGTACCTTATAATGTGTCTAGTTATGTACCTTATAATGTGTCTAGTTGTGTTCCTTATAATGTGTCTAGTTGTGTTCCTTATAATGTGTCTAGTTATGTACCTTATAATGTGTCTAGTTGTGTTTCTTATAATGTGTCTAGTTGTGTTCCTTATAATGTGTCTAGAGTGTTGCTTATGATGTGTCTAGTTGTGTTGCTTATAATGTGTCTAGTTGTGTACCTTTTAATGTGTCTAGTTGTGTTCCTTATAATGTGTCTAGTTGTGTTCCTTATAATGTGTCTAGTTGTGTACCTTATAATGTGTCTAGCTGTGTTCCTTATAATGTGTCTAGTTATGTACCTTATAATGTGTCTAGTTGTGTTCCTTATAATGTGTCTAGTTGTGTTCCTTATAATGTGTCTAGCTGTGTTCCTTATAATGTGTCTAGTTATGTACCTTATAATGTGTCTAGTTATGTACCTTATAATGTGTCTAGTTGTGTTCCTTATAATGTGTCTAGTTGTGTTCCTTATAATGTGTCTAGTTGTGTACCTTATAACGTGTCTAGTTGTGTTCCTTATAATGTGTCTAGTTGTGTTCCTTATAATGTGTCTAGTTGTGTTCCTTATAATGTGTCTAGTTGTGTTCCTTATAATGTGTCTAGTTGTGTTCCTTATAATGTGTCTAGTTGTGTTCCTTATAATGTGTCTAGTTGTGTTCCTTAAAATGTGTCTAGTTGTGTTCCTTATAATGTGTCTAGTTGTGTTCCTTATAATGTGTCTAGTTGTGTTCCTTATAAACTGTCTATTTGTATTCCTTTTATTAAGTCTAGTTGTGTTCCCTATAATGTGTCCCGTTGTATTCCTTATAATATGTCTAATTGTGTTCCTTATAATGTATTTTATAGCTTTTCTTGTGCTTATAGCCTAGCTGATTGCGTATCTTGCGTCGTTTCTAGACGAATACCTTATAGTGTAAAAAACCGTGTGTATTTACTGACTGACTTGTGCGCTTCCGCCCCCCCCCCCTCCCCCTTCCATCTCGCCACAGGAAGCAAAAGCAGATTCTATCGGCACATGTACAAAGCAGCACCAGGTTCAGCTCCAGATTCAGCTCCAGAGAGGCGAGCATGGATTTTCTGGCCGGCAGAGATGACAAAGACGAAAGGTGAGAGTAGGGGATACACGCAGAGGTTGGGAATCACCTACAGGTATTAGAGCACCAACAGTGTGTATAGTCGGAGGAATACATTAAAGCACCAACAGTGTGCATAGTCGGTAGAATACATTAGAGCACCAACAGTGTGTATAGTCGGTAGAATACATTAAAGCACCAACAGTGTGTATAGTCGGTAGAATACATTAAAGCAACAACAGTGTGTATAGTCGGTAGAATACATTAAAGCACCAACAGTGTGTATAGTCGGTAGAATACATTAAAGCACCAACAGTGTGTATAGTCGGTAGAATACATTAAAGCACCAACAGTGTGTATAGTCGGTAGAATACATTAAAGCAACAACAGTGTGTATAGTCGGTAGAATACATTTAAAGCAACAACAGTGTGCATAGTCGGTAGAATACATTAAAGCACCAACAGTGTGTATAGTCGGTAGAATACATTAAAGCACCAACAGTGTGTATAGTCGGTAGAATACATTAAAGCACCAACAGTGTGTATAGTCGGTAGAATACATTAAAGCACCAACAGTGTGTATAGTCGGTAGAATACATTAAGCACCAACAGTGTGTATAGTCGGTAGAATACATTAAAGCACCAACAGTGTGTATAGTCGGTAGAATACATTAAAGCACCAACAGTGTGTATAGTCGGTAGAATACATTAAAGCACCAACAGTGTGTATAGTCGGTAGAATACATTAAAGCACCAACAGTGTGTATAGTCGGTAGAATACATTAAAGCACCAACAGTGTGTATAGTCGGTAGAATACATTAAAGCACCAACAGTGTGTATAGTCGGTAGAATACATTAAAGCACCAACAGTGTGTATAGTCGGTACCCAATAAAAATCCCCAGCAGCTCCGCAATACATTAAAGCACCAACAGTGTGTATAGTCGGTAGAATACATTAGAGCACCAACAGTGTGTATAGTCGGTAGAATACATTAAAGCACCAACAGTATAGGACCCTTATTTTACGCCTTCAGACGTATTGGACTTTTATAGAGCTGTCAGGAAAAGATATAAAACCGAACGAAAAGTATATCAGCGAGCTTCACAATATAACAAAGACAAACAAAACGTGAACGTTGCGGCCATGGAGCCTTCTTCAGCCCATACATAGATGAGACAATACTACACAAGCACAGAATATCACTTATCTACGTATCTCGTGGCAGCCAGGTCGATGTCAAGACAATAGTCTGGCGAGGCCAAGGCTAGACCTATACTTCACAGACCAATCAGTACTTGGGGCGTGATGTGGTCAGCATCACACAGGCCGCCTTCACCTCCCAGGACTTTACCTGGTACCCATTTAACTCTTTCAGTCACAGACAACGCAGCAAACCTAATCAGCCTATCAGCACAAGTCACCGACAATGTGCTGTGTATTTGGATCTTGTGGGTGCAGTGTGCCCATGCTTTTGCTGTCACCTTTATTGCTTCAGTCAGGCATCAGCTGTAATCTTCTGAGACTGAAAGAGTTAAATCTGGGTCAACCTGGGAGCCAAGGTCATTTTGTTTTTGAAAAAAATAAATGTCCGGCGAGCGTCTAGCCGCTACATCACGGCGGCTCCCTGTGAACCTAATCTGACGTTTTCATATGGAATGTTTTGCAGGACACGGACTAGCAGAAGGCTCACAAAACTTGTTGGTTCCAACATGAACCTTCTGGACGCAGGTAATTGCATAATTGCTTTCGCCTTCTGCTCTCCTCTCTTCCTTACTCTGCCCTGTTTTACCACATTTCTTTTCTTTTCTTCTTCTTCTTCTTCTTCTTCTTCTTCTTATGTCCTTCTTCTTTGTCATAATTGTCTTTGATCAATCAAATTATTATTTAAGTGAATTTATTACTGAATAATAAGTAAAGGACCCTTGTCACTGCATGTTAGGCCTGTGCAGCTAAACCCAAACTTAACAGATCAATTGGCACTCAGTCGTGACGTGGTCGACCTTACGCCGGTCGCCTTTACTTTCCATGACGCAATTCAGGTTCTCCTATTTCAGTTTGGGTCGAGAACACAATCAACTTATTAAAAAGCCACCACGGTATAGACTCAAACGCAGCCTCCTAAGGATGACAGACGAGCCCTAACCACTACATTACCTCAGCTCTCCAATTTTTCATGTGCCCATTTAAGTTCCATTTAGCTTGGACTTGGCTTTGATCAGTGGGCTGGTACCTCTTTCCTTATTTACTGTTTCTGAGCTCTCGCGGAGCATGTTTAGCAGTCTGTGTGGTTAATCATGGGAAGTCAAGTCGATCGAGGAGTTATTGACCTCATTATTCATCAAATTCAAAGAGAAATTTAAAAAAAAAAAAAAAAAAAAAAAAAAAAAAGTGTCAGGTCCTGTACTAACGATTTAGGGAACAGCCCGAAGGGGACAGAAATACAGATATCTATGGGCTTCAGCTGCGGGTCAGCAATCCGCGGACAGATCGGGAAGAAAAAAACAAAAACAAAAATAAAAACGATGTTGTGCCATGATTCTATGTCTTTAAGTAGTTTACCTCTTGCTTTGGTCAGTGGCTCATTTCGCGAACTGAGTGGTACGATTCACGAGAGCAGTTAATCTACATGTAATATAGACCTAGTATCAGATGTTGTAACAACTTCAGCTACGGAGCTGATGTAATTGAGTATTATCTTGAACGTTATAAACTACATTCAGAAGGTTATAGACCAATTATCTAGAAAAAAACCATAATCTGAACAGGTAGCTCTTAGTATATGTACCCAGAAATGTATTAACGTGTACAGATGCACAAAGGTTAGGTTGATGACCATATTACGATGTTTATAACGACTATATATTCTGTGAAATGTAAGGGTTGATGTAATATAGACCATATTATCTAGAATGTTGTGACCACTGACACAGGTAAGGGGTGATGTAATATAGACCATATTATCCAGAATGTTGTACGACTACATAATCTGACAAAGGTAAGGTGTGATGTAATATAATGGGTAAGGTTTGTAACGATGTAATATAGACCATTTTATCTAGAATGTTGTAACGACTACATAATCTAACAAAGGTAGGTGTGATGTAATATAGATAATGTTGTACACTACTTATACAAAGGTAAGGTGTGATGTAATATAGACCATGTTATCCAAAATGTTGCACGACTACATAATCTGACAAAGGTAAGGTGGGATGTAATATAGACCATATTATCCAGAATGTTGTAACGACTACATAATCTGACAAAGGTAAGGTGGGATGTAATATAGACCATATTATCCAGAATGTTATAACGACTACATAATCTGACAAAGGTAAGGTGTGATGTAATATAGACCACATTATCTAGAATGTTGTACGACTACATAATCCATATGTAATATAGACCACATTATCTAGAATGTTGAGCGACTACATAATCTGACAAAAGGAAAGGTGTGATGTAATATAGACCATATTATCCAGAATTGCGTTATAACGACTACATAATCTGATGTAAAGACCATATTATCCAGGTAGACACCTACAGATGTAAGTGACAAAGACACAACATACATTATCCAGAATGTTGTAAGATCCAAAAGAAACGCAGACAGACAAATAAGCAGGCCGACCTACAAAATGGCGCAGATGAGTAGACAGACTTATTAACTGGCTGAATGTCGAGATAAATGATCGAATCGAAGTGACGCGATCCATAGACATGTGGACAGGAGGATTATATAAGGCACTTTTTTTCTTCCTTTCTCTACTCTTGGAATGACTGACTGACTTTTTTACCACAGCAGGACATCACACTGAGCGATAAAAACCCGGTGACACAAAGTGCCACTATTCGGATTAGGATCACCCGTGGAGAGGTACAAGAAACCCCGTTGAGCCGTTAGTTTATATCAGGGCCCCCAGCAACAACCACGGTTGGGCTTCAACGTAACGAAAAATACATCCCACATGGGGACCAGGGATTGACTCTTGGAATGTCTCGCAGCGTGAGAGCAGGAAATGATCTCTGGAATGGGCATTTCCGTTAGCTTCGTAATCTTTCCGGTGTCTCCGATATTTCTGCCTCTGATCTTCTTACTACAGCTAATGAGTGGACGATCGTAAAAACAGAGATGAGATGTCTTAGGAGAGCTGCCGGTGTGACAAAAAGAAACAAGAATGAAGAAATTAGAAGAAGAGTATGACAAAACCGTCTATACAGTTCATTGAAGAGCAACAAATGAGATGGTTTGCTCAACTAAAGATAATGCCTGGTACCAACTGTCAGAGAGAGCCATGCTGAAGAAATATAATGAACACAGAGCAAGGGGAAAACCATGCAAGAGATGGAGCGACACCACCAGGAGCAACCTAACCAAAATGAACTCGAACTTGTACAATGCATCGGAAAGAGCACAGGGGCTCCTTACGTCTTCCCTCCAACCCGTCGCTGAGGTAAATGGAGGAAGTGAAGAAGAAGATCTACTGACTGGCCAATCTCTGTTTCTGTTAGCCGCGTTGCCTGTATCACACTGCTCTCTATGGTACCCTCTCTATTGCCAATCTTGTTATATAGCCAAACTATATGATCCCGTTAGACCAGTGATTCCCAAACTGGGAGCCTCGAAAATTTCGAAGATACACGAGTTTTATTTATATATTTTTTAAATCTCTTACATACAAATAGTCATAATTTTACTTAGGTTAGGGCGCCGTAAAACAATTATAATTGAAAAAAAAAAAAAGGCGCCGCGACTAAGAAAAGTTTGGAAAACACTGCGTTAGATAGTAAAGAGAACAAAGCAGTCTATTTTTTCCCCCTTGCAGTGTTCAGACATTCGATACACCGTGAACCGTCTGACGTCACTCCGCCTGTAGATGCTAAAAGGTAAGTAGTCTCTTGTGATAACATGTCAGTTGTTTTCTTTGCCTTTCCCGAATTCATCCAATTTCATGCTCATCGATGTCCTTATGCATTTGTTTTTGAATGCGATTTACGTTACGTTTCGTGTCTATAGTGATTCTCCAACTTTAACTAAACGTTATACACCCTCGTCGTCCCGAAGCACTTTGTGTCGTTGGGTCACCAGTTGCAATTCACTGTCTGAGCAGCTCCACCCAACGTTGCTGGTCAGATGCGATGGACTTCGTGGTTGCATGGCTAAGGCCTGTCCGGTCAGTCAAGGTCTTTCTTCCACGTCAGCGACAAATAAAAGTAGTGGACCCTTTTCTAGGCCTTTAGGCGTCCTGGGAATATGGGTCCAGAAGTAAATTTGTATAGATCAATCAGCACTTGGTGAGGAATGTGGTCAGCATAACGCCCGCCGCCTTTGCTTCCCAGGTCTGCACCTGGTACCCACTCAAGGCTGGGTCGACCGAGAAGACAAGGTTATTTTTTAAAAAATATTCAGGCTCCGTCAGGGTGCGAACCCCTGATCTTCCGATCCGCAGTCGGGTGTCTAACCGCCAGCGCCACTGTGATCAGCTACAAATAATAATTTTTAAAAATATTAAAAACTGAGCGTATGTGGAAGAGCCAGATAGAAAAGAGTATGTGAAAAACTTGGAAGATAAAATACTTACATAAATATATCTTGTCACCCCCTTGTGTGATGCAATTTTTAGCTATTTTGAAGAACCCACACTGGTTTTTTTTGCCGGGCCCCTAAATAAAGCCGGGCCTGAAATATGGCCAAACGGCTGAACGGGGTTTCCGGGACCTCTCCACCGGTGATCCTCATCCGCATGGTGGCACTTTGTGTCACCGGGTGTTTATCGCTTGTGTGATGTCCTGGTGGGGTACAATTACCCATCTACCTACTTAGAAGAAAAGAAGAAAAGAACATTTGTAAGAACAGTTTTATTATTTAAAAACAGCAACTGTCAGAAGTCATTGCGCCGTTGCCTGCTAAAGACCGAGCAACTGATCAAGAAGAAGAACGGACAGACAACTGACACAACAGTGAACGGACGGAAAGGCGGACAGACAGACACATAAACAAACAGTCAGATTCAGTAAAAGACTGTCTGATAAATAGATGCGTGTTATGGTAAATGATTGTGTTTAGAACCCCGCGAAAAAGGGACAGCCAAGACAGCCAGGAGGGACGATTGGCCAGGTAAAGTTTAAAAAAACTATTTCGTGACTTTTTAAAAATTTAGTTGTTTAAAAAAAATTGTTTTAGTGTAATGTAGAACGAGTTTAAAACACCCCTTTTCACGCCTACAGACGTATTTGGCATGTAGGACGAGACCTATATGGTGTACCTCGGTTCACGAACACCTCTAGTCACGAACAAATTGGCCCATCAAAATAATGTCGGAACAATTTTGACTGGACCCGCTAATAATACCTCGATTCACGAACGCACAAACAGCGGTGATGCTATGTTTTCAGCTCGCGAACAGTGTCAGTGTTAGCTAGTTTAAGCTTATACTTTATATTTTTAATTATATTTTTACCACACATATTTGCGTTAAAAAAAATCTATCACAAAAATTATGTTTTCCGAGCTGGCGAACAGATTAATTAGACTGGCAAAAATATCAATGTTTCGGATCGCGAACATTTCAGCTCACGAACAGTAAAAAAAATTTCGTTCGTGACCCGAGGTACATTATTGTATAGACGAATCGGTACTCGGTGAGTAACATGGTCTGCATCACGCCATCATTTTATCTGGGACCCATTTACGGTTTGGGTCGACCTGGGAGCCAAGGTCATTTTTGAGGGGTGGGGGGGGGGGGGGGGGGTCAGGCTTAATCAAGACCTGAACTCACGACCTTCTAATCCGCAGGCGAACGTCTATTTGCTACGCAACAGCGACTGCCGGGTTTCATAAGAACTTCTATGGTTTTTCTTATTTCCTGTAATGTAAGACTTTTTACAGGGACTTAATTGTCTAGTTTTCTTGTAATATAAGGGAGAGCTCCCTTGGCGGAGCGGCTAAACGCTCGCCGCGGATTGAAAGGTGGTGGGTTCACTCCCTGGCGGAGACAGACTTTTATCAAAAATGACCTTGGCTCCCAGGTAGACCCAGTCTTGAGTGGCTCCAAGGTAGACCCAGTCTTGAGTGGCTCCCAGGTAGACCCAGTCTTGAGTGGCTCCCAGGTAGACCCAGTCTTGAGTGGCTCCCAGGTAGACCCAGTCTTGAGTGGCTCCCAGGTAGACCCAGTCCTTGATTGGCTCCCGGGTCATGCAGGCTCCCAGGTAGGTCTTAGTGGCTCCCAGGTAGACCCATGAGTACTCCCAGGTATAACCCAGTCTTGAGTGGCTCCCAGGTAGACCCAGTCTTGAGTGGCTCCCAGGTAGACCCAGTCTTGAGTGGCTCCCAGGTAGACCCAGTCTTGAGTGGGTCTCGGGTGCAGTCCCGGGTAGTAGAGGCAGCCGGCATGATACTGACCATATCACCCCTCTTGTGCCCATTTGTCTAAAAAATTATAGGTCTAGCCCTATATGCCTAAAGGCGTGGAAAAGGGTCCTTTAGTTTACTTGTAATTTGAGACTTTTCTTAAAAACTCCCTTTTCTTATTTCATTGTGATGGAAGACTTTTCGCAAGGACTACTTTTTCTTGTTTCCTTGTGATTTAGGACTTTTTACACGAACTACTTTTTTCTTGTTTCTTTGTAATATAAGACTTTTCCTTTGTTTTTTTTTAAGGGGGGGGGGGGGGGGGTTCATGTTTTGTAAATTGATCCTAGTCTTGGAACAGTACTCATGTATCTTGATTTATTTTTCCTATTCCACCTCAGTACTCCTAATAATTGTTCTGTTAGATATCTATTCTACGTTTTATGTTGTGTGTGTGTATGTTTGAATGGGTGTGTGATCGCCCATCAAGAGCCGATTAGTCTATAAAAAAGAGGTCTAGCCCTATATGCCCAATACTAAAAGGCTTGGGAAACATACTTTTTTGTGAGAGAGAGAGAGAGAGAGAGAGAGAGAGAGAAAGAGAGGGGGGTGGGTTGGGCGATCAGAGAGGATTGTTGCTTTTTTTGTGTGCAGATTTGCATTTTTAATCAAGAACAACATTAGCTGAGCCGGGAAACGAATCAGCGAGCTTCAGAGTTCGAAGCCAGCTGTTTAAACTCTCAGCTACAGAGCCGCCCCCCCCCCCCCTGTCTGTCTTTCAGTCTGTCTTTCAGTCTGTCCCTGTCCTGTCTGTCTGTCTTCTGTCTGTCTGTCTGTCTGTCTGTCTTCTGTCCTGTCTGTCTGTCTGTCTGTCTGTCTGTCTGTCCCCTGCCTGTCTGTCTGTCTGTCTGTCTGTCTATCAGTCTGTCTGCCGGCCTGTCTGTTGGTATTTGTTCGCTAGCACAGGCACCACTTTTATTCTATGCGGATGGACCAATGTCATCTCCACGACCGAACCCTGGTTACGCTTTATTGGCCAACCCATCCCTCCCACTTCAGACACCCAGTGTACGCTGTTGTGTCTGTGGGCGTCTACTCCGTCCATTTCCTAGATATAGGCCAGTACCTGTCCTTGGCATCCTTCTTTAAGGAAGTTTTTCGCCAAGGACACAGATGAGTATCATTTATTTTGTACATTAGAGTCCTATGTAGTCACTTCTTAGTTAGAGCATATTTGTGTATGTGTACTGTGTTGTTCTCTAAGCGCTGATGAAGGCTAATCGCCGCAACGTCCTTTGTTTGTTTATTGTGATCTATTTTGTAAAGCTAACATAAACTGTTTGTTTTTTCTTACCAACCTTTTCTCTTCCCTATAATTTCCTACTCCTTTAAAAACTAGTAAACATATGTGTGTAGCCTGTTTCTTCTCAGACGCTCAGCTCTCATTCTTTCTGCAAGAAATTTGTTCCTTTATTCTCATTCCCTTCCTGCTGTGTCCGCTCTATACAACACGGTCTATGGCATTTTGTTGCAACGAGTGCACCTCAGTACCCGTATCATTCATGTCCCGCTTGCACACATCTTTATACCATAGAAGAAGACATGCCATAACCACTACACTGTGATATCATCTGATAATAATTTGTGAAGGTAAAACTACTATTTACAATGTGACAAGTGCTAGTTTGTCTGACAGAGATATATCAATGAAAACAAAATGCTGAAACAATATGGTTGCCGATGAATGCAAATGAACAAGCAACTAGAAAATGGAATTGAGTCTCTGAAGATGTAGGTATACAGAAGAATGTTTTATATTTCATGGAAACAAAAACATTCCAATACAGAATTTCTGGAAAGATTGCAAATGAAAAGATAGTTACCTAAGGGGAAAAAAGAGACAACTGAAATGCTTTGGCCATATTAAGAGACATAACACACTTTTAAAAACCATACTGGAGGGAAAGGTCAAAGAGGTATGCAACGAAACAAGTGGGAGGACAACATCAAGAAATGGGCGGGCAGCAGTCTGAGAGGGTGTACAACCAGAGCAAGAGACAGAGCGTGTTTGAGATCCATTGCAACCAACCTTCAAGGTGTAGACGGCACCTGATTGATCAATCGAAGGCAAATTACTCTGATTTTTAGCCTATTTCGTGTTTTATGTTACTGATATTGAAAATTAGTTAACTGTTATTTTCACAATTTCACAAGCCTCAACGTACCAAAGTTTAATATTACCGTCGCATGCTTCCGTTCTCCTGTTTTGGGAATAGTGGCACCATTAACGCCTCAGACGTAATGTATAACCATCACCCACAAAGTGCTGATTGGTCTATAAAATAGAGATCTATAATCTAGCCCTATGTACCCAGTACGCTTAAAGGCGTGGAAGAGGTCCTCTACTTCCTTTCAGTTAATGCATACTATATAATTAGTCCCATGATGTATGTCCTAGGGAAGTAAAGACGGCCGGCGTAATGCTGACCACATTACCGACATGCTTGTTGGGGAGGCGGTGTGTCTATTCTCCCCCCCCCCCCCCCCCACAGTGGGGCCTCAGAACCTAATAGAGAGATCCAACCTAAAATGAGTGCCAGGATATACCGCGGGAAATAAAAGCGACTAGTGTCGTATTCACCAAATCACCCATCGGATGCCGATTCGACTAGAAATATGGGCCTTTATGGTGGACAATACTGATATAAGCTTCCGATGCTAGACAGGATCGATGTCAGTAATAGTAACGTATTTAGTTACCTTTCTGGCGGACAATACTGATACTATGACGGTCCGATGCTGGACAGGATCGATATCAGTAATGTCATGAGATGCATATTTTAAAGACAATAATGGCAGCAATCGTGACTCCGAATCCCTGTGCAAGTTGGTGGATTTGAGCGTGCAGCCAGGAGATGCATTTTACCAGGGGCCCATGACATTTGAGTAATCAAAACAGAGCGGGCGTGATCAGTCGCTTTACGCTTCTGTAACTATTGAGGCGGAGATTTACGCACCAATAGATCTGTCCGGAATGCTGTTGCGACTATTACTACTACTACTGTTGCTGCTGCTACTACTGCTGCTGCTGTTGCTACTACTACTACTACTGCTGCTGCTGCTGCGGAAGGCTGCTGCTGTTGTTGCTGGTGGTGCTGCTACTGCTACATTGCAAATATAAGTGAAAGTTAAGGATTCTTTCCCCTTCCTTCCGCCTATCAGACGTATGATGTCAGATCTGAACTTGAATAGATCAGCTGGCACTTGATGGGTTTAGTGATCAGCAAAATACAGACTGCCTATACTTTCCATGATATTTCCTGATACCACTTTTATTATGTCGTGATAATAAGGCTGGAGATAAAGAGGAAGGTGTAGAGTAATAAATAATCTGACTTGTGAACTGTACACACTTTCAGATCATCTGGACGGCTCCAAACGTCTAACTTCTCAAGATGGGCAATGGTCAGAACGGCAATTAGAGGAGACGTAGTGGTAAACAGTCTCCTCTCCCTGTCATCTATGTGTGTGTGTCTCTGTCTATGTGTATGTATGTATGTATATATGTATGTATGTATATATATATAAACAATGCTTGTGATAGGGGTGGGACAGTATAACATCAAGCGATGAGGTAGACGAACTTGTCTTCTTTTCTTCTTCTTTCTTTTATCGTCTCACTGTTACCAGGTAGTAACTTAGTGTCGTGTTTTTCTTGCGCTTCACGGGTGGCTTGTGTGATGAATTTGTTCAACTTTTTGTAGGTTTCATCTACATCATTTATCCCTATTTTTCTTGGTCTTCCTCTCGCCTTTTTCCCAGATGTTCTACTGTAAAAAACTATCATATACAGTCTGGTCTGACTGCATCCTCACTTGATGCGCGGGCCATTTCATTCTTTAACTGTCAATATATCTTGGTAATCTTAGTTCCAGCTTCATAGTAAACGAGTCACCCCATAGTTGCTCCGCTCCTGTGCCAACGAAAAACACACAAGATGTTCGTCACAGTCCCTTGTGGAAAGATCGACAGACTGCTGTCTCAGCATATGCACTAGCATACACACGCATTAAAAACATACGGTAGCCATCAGAAGTGCTAACACAAAAAGTTTGACATTAGAAATGCAGTTCATCATCGACGGCAGCAGAAGTTACCAACACATCAGCAGTTGCACACGCAATCAATATTAATCACATAATAGCACCACCAATATTGCGGTGACAGGAAACGCGATATTTTCTTAATCTACAGTTCACAACACCACGTTGGTCACAGTCGAAAAACATTCCAAATGAAATCCGCAGCTCACAGGGTCAAGCCATGCACTCAACTCAGTAGCTGGCGCGTCGAAACTATATCATTTCAGTCTACAAATGGATCAAAAATGCAACGGCCACCTTCTGGCAGAAGCAACAAAATTTGCCCCGACGCGAAACAGTAACCATGCCCTGCGTCCATTTTGACCGGAAGTCCGAAAGTGTCAGTATAATCCAGACATGGTCTAATTCCAATTTTTTTCTCTAATGCTGGTATTCGTAGCCCTGTCTCGTCTAGTGTTGTTAGTAACTTTGCGGAGACAGCGCATTTCACATGTGGTTATTTTCTGTACTAGTACCCTTCCATTGTCGACGTGCAGGTAACTTCCTGAAAGACTTCAACCAAAACGACAGAGCGGAAGTTTGAGAGATCCTTGTCGCCAAACGTCATTGTGGTGGTGACACTTCCTTGGTTTCGACACTACATCTACATAATCATTGATTCTGTGCTATAGAGACAATTACCATATTGGCAGTTAGTGTCACAGCTTCACTACTCTGTAAATTTTCAGAATCGCACAGGAAGTAGAAACTATTTGATCAAGCAGTCGCCAAGCAATGTTCAGTTTTAGGTTGCTTTTTTTTTTTTTTTTTTTTTTTGTCATCTACAGCAAATAAATCAAAATAAAAACTAGATGTTTGTTTAGATTAAGAAAAAAAAAATCTTACAAGGACGTGAAAACAGTTTGCATACCATAGTGGAACAATTCACACCGAACGATTACTGAGTTACAGATTTCTAAAGCTGAACATGGCTTCTAGGATATACTATATAGCACTCTATTCTTCTCTATGTTGTTGATTGACTGACTGACTTACCCCACCAGGACATCACACAAGCGATAAACACCCGATGACACGATGTGCCACCATGTGGGTGAGGATCACCGTGGAGAGGTCCCAGAAACCGCGTTCAGCCTTTAGGCCCTATTTCTAGCAAAAGCCAGAGTAGAGCTTCAAATAATGAAAAATGTCATCCTAAAAAGGACGAGAAGTGTATATCTATGTGTTTTCAATCATTATAACATCTCATTTAAATGTCACCTCAATCCTTTCAACATCATGAAAAGATTTAAAAAACGAATAAAAAGTATATCAGCAAGCTTCGCAACATAACCAACACAAACAAAACTGGAAAGCTGCGGCGAGGGAGCCTTCATCAGCACACACATAAATAAAACAATAATACACAAATAAACAAAATCACTTAGTTTAGTATCTCGAAGCGGCCAGGTTGGTGACTTGTCAGGCACGTGGGACCAAGGAATAAATACGCCCGGGACATTCCAAGGACCGAAACTGGAAGTATTTAGATAAAACTGTGTGGACAGTTCAATTTCCTAGGATTTTAGATGAAACTGTGTTGGCAGTTCAGTCCTCGTGGTGTTTAAGTGCCCAAAGTAAAAATAAAGCGATTTTCAAGAGACTTGCTGAGTCTCTCGCTGGAGTGGCTAGATTTAAACACAACATCATGAACGGTATCCAGTATAACACTCCTTGGCTTCACTCAGCAATGTTCGTTCGTGGGTTCTATGGGACATGATCGCTTTCTCTGTCCATTGGTTTCCTATCGTAGTGCATGTTTGTCGGCGTCTGTGGCTTAGGCGTTGCAAACGCGTTTCGTAATGCTGGGGTGTCGGGTTCGATCCCAGTTGAGGGCCTTGCGCCTTGCGTTGGTTTCGACAGTGGTATCAAGAAGCCGACCGTCCAGTAAGCAATTACAAACTAATGGACGTAAGCCTGCCTAGAAAACCCCATAACAGCCCCCCAAAAAATGATAGAGTTGGTTCTGCAATGTCCTGTAAAGGATACGCAGCTAGCTAACACAGTAGTTTTATCTGTATGCGTTATTTTTGTTTTTGCTATGTTAGGATATAATTTTTGATTTTCATTATTATTATCAATTATGACATTATCAAAGGCTAACCTGCCTAAAATTAACCCCTGTAAAATAAGTTGCCTGAGAAAAGCTGCCAACCTAACTATCCGAGGCAAATTAGAATTGATATTATCAGACAGTGAAAACATCTGAAGTGAAACCAAGAGGCTGCCCTAGAAGAAGATGGGTTGATGACATTAAAAAGCTTCTAAATCGACACGGAACGGATGACAACAGCCATTTCTGCCCATCAAGGGATCGCAAACTTTGTCTTCTCTCGACCCTTAGCAACAGAAAAGGAAATTGATGAGCAGGATTGTGGTGATGATTATTTTAAATCAGCATGTAAAACTCAATACGAAATGATGTATTTACATGCTGAAACCAACAAACTTTTAAACATGTTTGGACTTGTGTACATGCAGGGAACCGAGTTTCTAGACTTCCGGTCGGGACCGTTCCAGCCGCCCAAACAAATCTGGTCGATAGTAAGTGAACCTTGTACATCTTTAGTGTATAAATTTCATTTTTCAAACATTCGACTCCACAACATTTAGCATGAGAATAGAGGTGGAGGCGGTAACTGCAGCTTTCCGGTGGCTAGAGAACAAAATGCATAAACGTGTCGTAATTATAACAGACTCTGAAAACATGCTGAGAAAGATGAAGGTGGTGAGCATACTTTATATCTTTTCTTTTATATCAGTCCATGCAGGCATGGTGGGTAATAAACAAGCAAACAGACTGGCTGGATCTGCGCCACTGGGTGGTGAACTGATACGTGACAAGGCAGGTGTGATCAATGCTATTTGGGAACTAGCAGGGAATCGGTATAGAAAGAAGCTTATTACGGCCTGGAGAGAATGAGGCACCTGGGTGTAACCAGGGGGTCTGGCCGGCTCACTACACACAGAGAAAAAGCAAGACGTACATATAACTAATGTGTTTCAGGTACCGTCAGTACTGGAAGTCTGCACTGACTGCCGAAGATGAGGACGAAGCATGCATGGGAATGCCCCGAGTGCTGTGATATCAATTCTTGACTCAACTCAACTCAACTTAACTTTTGGAGTCCCAGTCAAACCATCAAGCGTCAATCATTCTATCTGCTGAATCAGCCCCCGAGCATGAAATAGATAGTCTCCTACTTATTATATTTTGTAAGAAACAAACTCAACAATACAGGGCGCGTCCTGTAGTCACTAGAAAATAATTAGTTACGTATCCTAAACAGGACGTTACAGAACCAACCCCAGCATTTTTTGGCTGTTGTAGTTTTTCTAGGCAAAATTTACGTTCAGTAGTTAAGCATTGCTGTCTGAACGATCAGCTCTCGGTAATACTGTCTTAAGACAAATCATTCGCATCTGGGATTGAACCCGACTCCCCGACATTACGAAATGCGTTCGCCTCGCCAAAGTCACAGACGCTGCTCCAGTGGTCACTACCACGGTTATATTACTGTTTTTATTTTAAAGTAATGCACTGATGAATTTAATCAAGGCTCGTTCCGAAACGGCATCTGCTGCGACACCTTCTTCTGGTACTGGAATAGTTAAGCTAGTTCATGTTAATAAGATGTTAGTGTATATTCTCATTTAACAGAAGAAAGACATGGAAGAAAAGAGAAATATATATTCCTGTGTTTGTCGCAGGTGACTCCCGGAGGAGCTACAGTCATTATGGTGAAGAAATCCTATCTTCTGAAGTACTTGAGGAAGCAGTGGTAGGCCTCATCTACTCACGTGATACGGCGCCCAGTGTAACAGTCTCAAATATTGGATCATGACTGACATAAGTTCACCTCATTTTCGACTCATTTTACACCTTGATTCGCGGCTTTCCGACAGCGTAGGCCCCACCTGCCCATGGACATTGGACACAGTGAAACTATCACATATGCTGGATCATGACTTACATAAGTTTACCTCTCGGTCAACTCATTTTAGCCCTTTATAGTGGCTTTATGATACCTGTTTATGTGACATTAGACTCATGTTCATGTTACATTGAACTCAGTGAAACTACCTCATAAACCGGATCATGACTTACATAAGTTTACCTCTCTGTCATCTCATTTTAGACCTTTATAGTCGCTTTCTGACGCCCGTTCGTGTCACATTAGACTCATGTTTATGTGGCACTGAACTTAGTGACACTATCTCATATACTGGATCATGAGTGATATACGTTTAAACTCATTTTAGACCTTTATAGGGGCTTTCTGACAGTAGTAGGAAAAAGACAGCGTGAAAGAATCTGGAGTTGTATTACGGACTATTTTGAAAGACAGCGAT